TGCCTAGACAAGTGGTATTTAGATAGAGGAAGAAATCGGGTTCTGCCCATCCATTTTCAGGCATTATAGAACGTAAACCAAATACCATGCTCTGCGGTCATCACTGCAAAGTTGTTTCCTAAAGTACATTTAGGCACCAACAGGAGCTCACTCATTTTGAGCAGAATTTTAATAAAATGGTTTTTAAATCCAGAGATTTGAGGCAAAAACAGTGTTGAAGGATTTGTGGAAATTCATTGAACACATGTCTTGAGCACTTGCTCTGTGCTGGAGTCTGAGCTACATAAATGGATGGGGCAGTCACCTGTGGCCCTGGGCCCCCTCTCCTGAATTTATGATAAGAAAGACACCAGCTGCTCCTTATTCAGCATCTACTACCTACTGGGCTCGGCACTTAGGGCTTCCCATGGATGGCCCCACATCCTCTTTCTCACATCCCAAAATATAGGAGCCAGGGAGGGAGAGGGAACAGACAGTGAAGCGATGTGCCCTGGAGTCCCCCGCCCAAGGTCCGCCGGCTGGGCAGTGACAGTCTGGTGGATGGACCATCTGAAGCTGGCTGACTGTTACAGTCCTGCTGGGGCCCAGGGGCCAGGCTGGCTGGTAGGAGCAGAGAGGGCTCCCTGAGAGGAGAGATGGTGGGGTCGGGGTTCTGGGGTGAAGCTAGGCAAGACATTTGAATTTTTTCTAAAAGTGGCGAAAAGGAAATGGATTGAGGGAAGGTGCAGGTTTTGAATGCTCGCTCCGGAGGGAGGGCAGGAGTGGGCATGGGGACCTGCTCTCAGGGGGAAGATACGGGCACTTAGGACGAGAGTTTACGGCTCCAGATCTGAACCGTTTGCTGTTGCTTCTCTGTCATCCCAAGGAAGCTGTTCAAAGACATTAAATGTATTTCAGTCTCTTTAAATTGAGATTAATGCTTACTCAAAAACAGCTTTCTTTTAGAAAATGATATAGCTGTGACCTTTCAATGAAATGCTAAAATCAAGCAGTCCGTATTCCTGCGTGCACTGGGTGCTGTGGAATGCACTGGTCTAAAGCCTCCTTTCCACCAAGCATAGAAGAAAATAGGAAAAATAACGCAAGCCATGAGGTTGGCTTTGGACACGAGACTGGCCTGCCTCGTGTCTGGGCCCCTTTGTCCCTGAGGCCTCCCTGCCCATTCCTTCCGGTCTTGCTGGGCCTCCAGCCCTGCCTTCAGAATGGGGTCATTTTCCCAGGCCTCCGAGGTGACCACAGAAGGTTAGAAATGAAGAGGCAGATGTACGATGAAGCTCCCTCCCACACATCAGACAGGGTTCAATTCAGTTACAAAGCCCCAACGAAATGACTGGTTTGATGACCTGCCATCTTATCCAGGCCTATGTTCCTCTCTGTTAATGGGTTCAGATGTGGCCCCCAGTGGGTGGAATGGCATGTGGCCAGTTTTGTGGCAGGCTCTGGTAATTGAGTGCATGGCGGAACCACTGGGCACCTACTGGCTTCATGTGTTTGTGAATATTAGTTCTGTAGACCGTTGTGGTTAAGAGTGAGTGGTTGATCTCTAGATGTCTTCCAGATGGAGGTGAGCTCAGTGGTTCTTTTCCAACCTTATCAGAACATCATGTGAAATTCATTTCAGGGATCTTTGAACACACCTCCCCTGAGCGCAGGCGATCTGCCTGCACCTTAGCAGCTCTCACCCTGGGAGCTCCCTGTCCTGTTGGAAGGCCAGCTTTGATCTGGGCTGGGTAACAGCCCTATAGGGTGTTACTTCTGCCAGGAACTTTGTGGTGCCATGGCCTGAACTCCTGACTTTTCAACTCCCTGTTCTCCTTGCAGAGAGTCAAGCCTCTGCCAGAAGGAAGGAGGAAGTGAGACCCAGCAGGTCATCTCCAGCTTTCCAGCCTGCGTGAGTGGCTCGGACAAGAGAGACGCCTGGAGCCAGGGTTAATAAACGATTAATGCAGCAGCTTGTTTTGTGACTGAAGCTTCGTGATCAGTGTGGCGTAAATGGCTCCACTCCCCGCTGGCATCCGTTTCATCATCTCATTCTCCCGGGATCAGTGGTAAGTCCTGGCGGGTCAGTCCTTTGGTCTGGGCTACACAAGGGCCCTTGTGCAGCCAGTTCTCTCCTGCGGTGTCATTATAAAACAAATGTGCCCGACTGGCCTCCCCGTGGCTGTTGAATTGCCCATCGGTGGTGGAAGTGCAGTAGGGACATGGCTGAATTGTCCTCTGTCTTTGGTCTGGCAGAAACAGATCACATTTCTACTCCTTCATGGTCTTCAGTAGTTTCTGTAATAATTGTGGTCCCCATAGAAAAATGACTGCTCACCACCAGCAGGATTATAAAGTAGCGTGGGTGAAATAAGTACAAATTTGAACTCTAAGCTCATATGGCCTTGCCAGGGCAGAGCTCGCAGAGAGAACATGAAACCCAAACAAGTTGGATACAGACCAGAACACCACATCCTATTCCGAGAACCCCTCTCCTTGAATGCTCTGAGAATCCTCCTCACGTGGATTCATGAATCCCACGCTCCCGGAGGAAGCAGATGGTGAGGGCAGAGCCAAGAGCTGGCCCCCTGGCTTCTAGCGCATGCTCTCTGCCCTGCTGGTCTTTGTTGGCAAGGAGAAGTTGTCCTCTGCTCTCTTAGGGTCAGTGATTGGGGACATGCAAATTAAACTGACAAAAGATAGATTTGCAGGAGAAAAGACAAATTTAATCATGCAGGTAAGGGACATCAGAGAAAAATGGGACTCGGGCTGTTACAATCTGGGGCTTACATTCCATCTTATTAGGGAAAGAGGAGGAGGAGAAGGACACTTAGCAAAGAACAGCTGACTTCAGGGCAGGTGAATGGGCCCTTGGAGAGTAGATGAGAGCTATGATCCTGTGGGGACAGTGTCTGCTTCAGTGCTGTGGACACTTCTCATCGCCGATAGTGAGTGCCCCCTGGCTGCTGCCAAGGAGGTATTTGTGACAACTGAGCTCTTCCAGAGGCTCTGCTTTTAGGTAGATGGGAGATTTCAGGGACTCAAATACCTTCTTCTCAGGATAATTCATATGCCACAGGGGCCTGGTCTGGACCCCTTCCTCTTGGTCGCAACAGCCCACTTGTGGCCACCACACACTTCGCAGCTTCCCAGGCCCCGCTGGGCAGGGGCACCCCACACCGTCTCAGGTGTGACTTCGGGCATCTCCTTTCCAGGGCGGCTCCTTTGCTGACTCATGTCCCGTCTGTTGCTGATCTAGCCGGAAGTGTTTAAATACTGACTTTTTATGTGATGGGTGTTTAGCTTGTCTGTTTTGTGACTTTATTTTGACATAGTTTTTAAACTCCCAGAAGGAAATCATAAGAATGTTACCAAGAACTCCTGTATATCACAAATTCTTTTCTTTCTTAAGGCTGAGACCTGCAAAGGGCCGTGCTTCTCAATCTTTAGTAGGCGAGTGAGTCAGCCAAGGACTTGTTTAAAATGCAGATTCTGCCTCCGGAGGCCTGGAATGGTGCCTGAGAGTCTGCATTTCTCATGTGATGTGGTGCTGTGAGTCCATTTAGGTAGCAGAGTTAGAGTGTTTGTCTTAATTTCTGTTCCATCTCTGCCTCAAACTTGCTATGTGAGCTTTAAAAGTTTTTAACCTTTCTAGATCTGAGCCTCTTATCTATAAAAGAAGAGAATTGGCTTTAACATCCCTGTGAAGGACATTTTTTATGTTTTTCTACCCAACACGCATTGCCCCTTGATTTGGGAAATTGACTTCCCTCCTCTGTGTAGTTGTCATGTTAAGTAAGCCTCAAAACTTTCTGCCCTATTACGGCAGCGATAGAGGCCCTCAAGGCTCTAGTCCCATAACCTTCCTTGGCAAGAGACAGGGGAGGAGCTAAGGTGGGCTACTGGCCTGTCTCCTGGGGCTTGAGTCTGGGTAGTGTGAACCTGGACAGGAGAGTCTGTTGAAAGGCATCTAGTCCAGCTGTGGGGCCAGGTCAACTAGCAGGCAAAGCCTGAATATTTCACCCCACTTGCTTCCCCACCCTCTGCCGTGTGTGTTTGGTGCATGCATGTACACACACATATTTTTCTGAACCATTTGAGAGTAGTTGCAGACATTATGCTCCTTTATTCCAAATACTTCAGCGTGTGTTTCTTGTGAGCAAGACATACTCATGTAACCACATACAAAGATTAAAACTGGGAAATTTAACACTGATAGTTCACTATTATCGAATCCACAGTTCATATAACCCATTTATTTAAAACTCTGTTGGATGTCCCACCACATCTTCTGTGGCTTCTCCCTGGCCCAGGACTCACCCCAGCATCACACACTGCATCTCGTTGTCCTGGGGGTTCAGTGCCCTTTAATCAGGAACCGTTTCTTGGCCTTGCTTTGTCCTTCATAACCTTGGCATTTTTGAAGTGCATTATCTATTTATTTTATAGACTATCCTTGTTTGAGGCGTCCTCATGATTAGACTCAGTTTGTGCATTTTGTCAGAATCCTGCAGAAGGGAGATAGCTTCTCACTGATGGTGAAGGAATTACAGATGGGGGCACTGAGTGACTTGTGTGGTGTTGGATTGGGGTTAAAGATATCAAGAAGAACTGGAGAGAAAGGCAGGGAGAAACAGATATGGCTGTGTGTATGTGTTTGATGTGTGTGTGTATGTATGTGTGTAACATGCCCTCATCCTGCCCACCAAGAGGCCCTGGAAAGAGCAGCACCCCGGCTCGAGTGAGCACATCTGGTGCCAGATCTTGGTTTCTATGTGCCATTTCCCACTGAAGAAGGCAGGCCTCTTTGGAGACTGCGCTGATATAGTAAGGTGAGGACTGGGGCAGGGAAAGTAAGGTGAGCCTGGACTATCTTTGCCAGAAAAGAAGAAATGCTTACAAAGGAAGGGGCTCTCTGGCCAAATCTGGGGTGATCTGAGGTTAAATAAACAATACAAGTAATGGATTATAGCCTATTGGATAAAATAAGAATCCAGTGAGTCCTGTAACTGCTGCTGTAACTAAATAAATGCACTACTGGGAGAAAGGACAGCTCTTCCCCGCAGTTGAATGCCAGCTGCTAACTAGAGTAGGAGTGCTCAATTGGGACATTGCCATCCTATAAACATCAAGATTACCCACTTGAGGCGAAGACCTTAATGGACACACCATCGGCAGGAAGTTGAAGGGTGTGTACGTAATCTCCCATAGTGCCCCACAAGTTTCTTATTACTTAGGGGGGAAAGTGCAGCTTACTGAGGGGCAAGCTGGCAGACAGTGCCTTAACCAAGTGATCAGTGCTAGATCACCAACATCACATCCCTCCTTTAAGATGCTCCAAAAAGGACTCCCATCAGGGCTGTGTGTGGATTTCATTGTTTCTGAATTAAAGCTATCTCTGGACTAGTATCTATGCCAAATCACACCGCTCAGTAACTGTCATCTAAAGCATTTGTGTATTCCTTAGTTTCATATGATTGAGAAATAACACTCACATGAGGAAACATATTCTGCCTTGAGTCTCTTAGCTTGGAGTGTTGTGCTGTTCTTTGGGGACATGGGATATTCAAGAACGTTCCTAAGGAAGCTTCAGAGGAGCACACCTCTCCTGTGCTGTCACTGCGAGATACACTTTTTTTCTGTTAGAAATGGGTTAACCCAGACACTTTCTCTTAGCTTTACTCAGCACGGGACAGTTGGTTAGGTGTTTTCCTTTCCCTAAGGCACAGGTGTTCTGGAGGTTGTAGGTTTAAGTCCACAGTACCAACCCTTTTTTTTCCCACCTAGAATAGCATTTTTTTTTTAAATCTGGAAATATTAATTTGACCCCTACCTGGTGGTGGCCAGAGAAGGAGGGGCCCCTAGGATTCTTCGTATTTGCTGGAGGCTGCCTTTGAGTAAATCCCACCAGTGATAACGAGTGGTAATGTGGCCCTGGTGCTGGTGTCACATGGGCCTCCTGGGAGGCGGAGCACCTGCCTTGCTGTGTTCTGTGTCCTGTGCCCCTGCTGGGGCACCTGCAATTCTAGCTGCCTCTCAGTTTGAAAGTCATTGGCCTTTTGGGGCCAGAAACATGACAGGGTCTTCAAGCTTGGGAGCTGGGCCTCATGGCTGTAACTGAACTTGCTATTCGGTTCTATATGGAAGTAGAACACCTTGAGGAAGACACCCCTTTGGGAAAGGCACTCTCCCCAGGTTGGCAGGGTTCTCAGAGAAGCTGTCCCACAGATTCAGGTCCTTGCCTACTTCCTGGCAGGAGCCCTTGGTCTTCATCTCCTGCCAAATACTTTTTCCTCCTGACCTGTTCTTCCCCCCACTTTTCTAGGGAGTTGCTTGGCCTTGGACTGGGAACGGCCTTTTGCCTTCTTACTAAAGCCTTGTCTTTTCTTTAGTCTCCTATACATGTCCCCACTGACTCTGGAACTGCTTCTCTCATACACCAAATACAGCAGCAGGTCCTGGGCCAATATCTGTCATGCTGTCGGCCCTGTTCCTAGCTTGTCAGCATCACTGAATTTCCCTCATTGAGGTCAGTGAGATATTTATACTTCTGCCTTGCTTGTGTCCTTCTAAAAGTTGCACAGAAGATAAAAAGTAAAAAATAAATATGATCTTAAATGCCCAGGAGAGCAGCAGGCTTACAAGAAACTTGAAGTTAATTTTGTTGCAAACAAAATAATCATTCCTTCTTGTCTGCTTTGTAAACTCCTATGTTAATCTTTTGCGTCCTCAATTTTTCTGTAATTGCAGTTAATTTTTTAATGAATGTTTAAATAGTTCCAATTTGAACAAAGCAAAAGTGGCAAATTTGTTTAATGTAAGGTCGTTGCTGTAATAGGATTAATAATTGACGTAGGACTAAATGAATAAAATACACACAAGAAGGTGTAAAAGCACAGTGCACCAGATTCATGGGGTGTCTGGCCTTATCTCCTGCCATCTCCCACCTCTGCTTTGCGTTGCAGGTACAGAGCCTTCATTCTCGTTCTGACATTTTTGCTGTACGCAAGTTTCCACCTTTCTCGAAAGCCTATCAGCATAGTTAAGGTAAGAAACCATGAAAAGCATCAGTTCTGCGTCCTGCCTGAATCTATTGAGAGCTCATGACTTTAAGGGCCGGGGGTTGGTGGGGGGGTAGAGGGGGACACCGAAAATGGCAACAATGTCATGTTTGGAAGCAAGTCATTTTGCTGTTTTGGTTTTGTTTCTTTCCTGAAATTAAAATCCTTTAAAATGTTCTCCAGGTTTATAACTTTTGAGGTAGTATGCTTTCAGTTATATTAGTTGGCACTTTCAGGATTCTAAAGCTTAGTTAAATATTTATTCTACCTTGTGTGACATTTCCCTCCAATGCATCCAATCCTAAATTGTCCCTGACACCACATCTGTCATTACAGCTCCATCCCAAGCCCAGCTGCGGCAGGTTCCCCATAACACTAGGCATCGAGGTTCTGTTCCAGGGATGACTGGACAGGAAAGCGTCAAGCAGGCATTTAACTAGACTTTGAGGAAAGACAAAGGTGGCAAGCCTGTGTGTAACAGCCTATTAGCTGAGGGAGGGCAGGTCATTTTCTTACACTCCTAGGAATGCGCCATTTGCCTGTAAACCATCAGCAGGCGTGATTCTCACTCTGTTGTAGAGGAAACAGGAGACTGTTGGTGCCAGAGAGAGCTCGGTATGGCCCACTGCCCCCCCCACACACTTCCTCCTCGTTGGGGACACAGGTGTGGGACTGTGCTGCTGATCTTCACCGTGTGCGTCCCCTGCTCCCCTGGGCACTGCGCAGCTGCTCCTGGTCTCCAGGCCAGCCCTGCGCTCCCCGCCTGCCCAGAGGATGCTGTCAGATGGCATCATCCACTCAAAGGATTCCAAAACCCCTCCTTGACCTCGAATAAGCAGGAATTTTCTGTGCCTTTCAAGTCACTGGCAAAATATTCCCACTGTTTTAATATATCAGGTTTTAACAACTATGGAAATGTTTGCAGACCTTTAAAAATGTGGTTTTTCACAAGAGAGAGAAGGATGGAACAGGAGATGGTGGGCCTTGATCCACTCGAGCAATGACTCTGAAACCCGTGCCAGGGAGCAGCCCCCACTGTTTCCTGGCTCCCTAGTTAGGAAGTGCTCTACAGCTCAAGAAAAAGGCAAGTTAGGAGAAGGGAGAGACCGCTGGGGCCCGGTGAGCCCTGGGGAATGGACGGGGCAGAGTCAGGGGGCCTCCTTCAGGATTGCTCTTGGAGGGTGCTCTTGCGTTGTGGAGGATGGCCTTCACTGTGATGAAGCCACCAGCCTGCTGGTGAGGGGTCTGTGCTGGGACAGGGGCAGCATGGGGAGGTGGGGCTGGCCATCTGCACCAGAACAGGGCACTTGGGTTCCAGCTGATGGACCCTGTTTAGCCAGGAAAGGACATACATAGTTCTGGGTTACCCTCCCAGCTTCCCTGTTGGGGGCTTAGGGCTCACTGGTCAGGAGGGGTCACGGTCAGCTCATCATTAGGTATCTCAAGGTAATAGTCACTGCGGCTTATCAAGCCCCATGGCACAACAGGGTACACACACTTGCCATTTAGCAGCTTCCTCACAACCGTCCTGTGAAGGCTCCACGGTCTCTGCTCTCAGCCTTCGTGCCACGTGATCTATTTAGGTGCCTGAGCACATGCCCAGCAGCACAGCCAGGTTTTCTGACTTAGCATCTGAGTTGTTCCTGGACACTCAACCCGTGGGTGTGCTTGCCTTCTAAGCTGATAAGGCCATCCCAATACCGTGGTAGTTGAGGTTTGATAATGCCTGACAGAGCTGTCTCACGCTTTAGCACACCTTGTAGTAATGATTCTGTTGATCCTATGGACAGTTTTGAATTACCTGCAGTCTATGTGTCCTAGCCTATTATAAGCAAAACAAAATTATATTTTGGTTACCTAGAATTGATCACCAGGGATTATGAATCATAATGTCATTTATAGAACATGACATATCATGTCATGTCAGGTTTAGGTCACTCTGTTTAGACTTACCTTTAATCACTGCTGATACATTTTATTTCCCTTTGACATTAATATAACAAAAAGGAAAAGAGTGATGAGGAGGAAAATGGGACTGGAGGGGGTGGGGTTGCGAGCACAGCCGGCACCTGCTGACCCAGCTCTAGCCCAGCCGCAGCCTGAGGCGGGAGACAGGTGGGGCCTGCACCAGGCCAGCTGGGCCTCCAGGCTAGGCCAGAGCAAACACCTGGGAGTGGGTTCTCGGGGGGAGCTTGAGCTGCAGGGAGCCCTGTGGCCCCCCGGGGAATGGTGGCATTGATTGGTCTGAGTGAGTGCCCTGCCATCTCTGCACATACAGGACCCATGAGGGGGAAGCTGTGAAGTCCTGGGTGACAGTTGGAGAATAAAGCCCAAAGTTGGCAGTGCATCCCATGGATTTGGGTGGGAAACTTGCTATCTGGAAAGTTCCAATGTTCCCAGGATTAATATTTAAATAGAATGCAACTCCAGTGAAAACCTCAGTGGTATCTTTTTTAATTGAATAAAACAGTCTTAGGGTTTATATGAAATAATGTCCAAGAATTAATTACCAAGGAAAGTGAAAAGGATAACATTTTTAAGCCACTGTAATCAGATATTATTATGGTATGCTATAGAATAGGACTAGGAAGAATAGAGAATGTTATAGTAGAATAGAATAGGAAATATAGTTTGGCAGAGGTTATGGGAGAAGTATAGCTTATTTAATAAATGGTATTGGGAAGACTGGTCATTCATCTAGAAAAAATAAATGCCTATCTTACAAAGAGCAGATGGATACATTGAAGATTTAAATATAAAAAACAAAGTGTAAAAATCCAAGAACAAAATTATGTTCGTCTTGGGGATGTGAAGTTAAGAAAAAGGAATGATGGATGGAGAGGATGAAGAGGCAGTTCACAGACAAGGGGTGTGACTTTCCAGGGACTGTATGAACTTGCTAGTATTCACAAGTACAAATCACAGTAACAGTAGATCGCTTTATACCCGCCAAGTGGCACAACATTAAGAGAGTAGTAGCCCTTGTTGCTGGTGGTGATGGGGGAGGAGAAGGGCTCAGGGGACTGCCAGGGATGGCGATGAAGTGTGAGGTGTTAGCAGCCGTTTGGAGGAAAGCATTCTGGTAACACCTCTTACAATAATAAGATACACCTTCAGTCCTGCTTCGGGAATCTCACCCATAAAAATAAAAGCACCAGCACTTAGGAGTCTGCATAAGCATCTTTATGGTAGCACTGCTTGCAATTAAAATAAAGGGAAAAGGGAAAAGGGAAAACAAACCCTGGATATTATGTGAACCTAATCAGCAGATGAAAGAGTGAATAAATTATGGAACATCCGTATCTTAATATGTGCAACTACTTAATTAATTAGAACTAAACCAGTTGAATTGGAATGGTTTCCAAGAGGTATTTTGAGTAAGAATAAGGTGTACATAAGTCTCTGTCAAATGATTCCATTCTTTAAAAATAAAGCAAAAGCCTCCCTGTACATTTCTGTTCACCTTTGTGAGTGTTGCCTGTCCTTTTGCTCACCTCGTGCATGGGGGCATGCGTATGTGTGGCTGTGTGTGACTGGTGTGCTTTCACATGGCACTCGTGACCCCCGAGGGGACGTAGCCATGTTCAGGCAGTTTGTCAGTGGCGCTCAGCTTGTCTGCTCTTCCTGCTTTGAGCATTGTCTCAATCTACTCATGCTGCTGTGACAAAATACCCAGACCGGGGGGCTTATCAGCAGCAGTTCTGAAGGCCTTAAGCCCCAGATCAGGATGCCAGCATGGTCGGCATCTGGAGAGGCCCACCTTCCAGCGGGCAGGTGGCTGCCTCTTGTGCCCTCACGCGGTGGAAGGGGCAAAGGAGCTCTCTGGGGTCCCTCTTACAAGGGCATCAATCACCTCAGCTTCCAAAGACAGCGCCTCCCCCTACCAACACTATGGGAGCTGGGTTTCAGCGCGTGACTGGGGGCAGCACAAACACTGAGACCACAGCAGGCACCACGACCTGCACCTCTCTTCCGGGGGTCCTTCCAGGGCAGTACCTTACACAGGGAGTGTGAAGGAATAGTTAAAGGAAACGGACTCACCCGACCTGATGAACCAGAGCAAGTTCACTAACTACATCCACCCCATGTAGATTATTACACGCTTAGGCACACGTACCCTGAACTCACCCCCAGTCATCCGAAGGTGGAGTGAAACGGCAGAGCCTCTCTCCTCCTGGGGGGTGGTGAGGCCTGAGGCCCGGCTCTCACTCTCCGCCCTTCTCCCCGGGGCCTCTCCACGTTGCCTGCGTGCCTTCCAGGCTCCGGCTTGGTGCCCCTGTCTCAGAGGCTGAGGAGTGTGGCTGCAGGCCCAGGGCCAGGCAGGGCTGCGAACCGCGGAGGCACCCAGCGCGCGTGTTTGGAATGAGTGAGTGGATGGAAGTAGAGTTGCTCCGTGTGAAGTTGCTCAAGTTCATAGTTTAAAGGATAGAGTCTTCATTAAATGGACCTTCTTTCACTAATTTCATTCATGTGGAAATTACTTTGCCCCCATGAATATGTCTCTGCCTTGGTGGCTGCGTGGGGTGTACAAGTGGAGGACTTAAGCAGGCCCAGCCTTTTCTGGCAGCGGCCGTAGCTGCCTGCTGACCTTGGAAACGATGCCCTTTTGCTGCCCAATTTCTGGAGGGGACTAGGGTTGGACAGGGACTTTGTAGGCAGGAGGTTACATGCAGACACCCAGATCCCAGTTGTCCCTGCCCCTCCGCCCACGCGCACCTTGCTTCATGACTTCGTGCTTTTCTGTGACCTTCCACGGTGTGGCCCTGCCTTCCCCCACCCACCACCTTCCAATTTCTCTGGAGTTTTGCTCTCATTACATTGTTGCTGTTCCACTGCGTGTTCACAGACGTTTTAACAATTGTGAGGACCATGTACCTGGAGCATTCCATCTGCTCTTCCTCCTTCAGCATTTCATACACATTCCTTGGTGGCCACATAGTCTGTGGATTGATGAACTTGTAATAACTGCCTGTTGTAACATGTTGGTTAATTTCATATGCTATCTGTTGAAAGATGCTTGTAAAAAATTTGCAAAGTACTAGCTCCCCTCCAAATGATTTTATACCATGGACAGAATAAGTTCGCCTGGTGAGTTTTTCTCTGATCAGTTCATCTTGGTTTAATTATTCCTTAATTTTCCCTCAAACAATAGGTTTTGAAAATAAAACTCATTGAAATGTTAAGATAGAGCAGTATTGTTGAAAATATGTGGTTAAATATCCTCAGAACCCTTTGTGTTGGAATAATATTAAATCTTGTATTGCCTTTGCTGCAGCCTGTCGGTGGGGGGTGGGGGGATTGAAGATTGCATCTCCAGTATGAAGGAGGAGGGCTGGGGGGCTCTGAATGAGTTCAGGGGTAAGTAGAGGCAGGAGGAGCCTGTGGGAGGGACCGTGCTCACAGCCCCTTCCAGGGCTAAGGACCCAGAGAGGAGCTCCCTGCACACAGCTCGTCCTCCCAGCAGCGCTGGACAGGCTGGAGTGTCCCGGCCTTGTAACGACGGGTGCCAGGGAGCTCACATGCCCCAGCTGAGGGCCGGAGCCAGCTCGGCGGGGTCCCAGGGGAGAGCCTGTGTCCCTGACCAGGATGCTAGGCCACCTCCCATCTATCATCACCCAAAACAAAATCTTTTCTGTGTATTTAAGGGTCCGAAGGGATCCTCTGGGACCCTTTCTGTTTCCCGTGGACGGCTCCTCCCAGGGGATGTTCACTGTTGAGAGAGGGTGTGACATCCCATCTGGGGTATTGTCTGCAGCATTCCTTGTCCCCTGCTTCCCTGCCGAGTGAACTCACAGGTTCCCTTGCAGCCTGGGAGGTCCTCTCCCACCCTCCCTGGAGCTTCTGTAGTGAAATGTTTAGCATTTCGCTAAAGCTGTGAAGCCCAGGTTCTGGCCCAGTTGGCGTCCACAGGATGCATCAGGGAAAGGCAGTCAGCGGCACTGAGCCCAGAATGGCCATCAGTGAGGAGTGGTGGCCCCGCTGCAGGTGACCCTGGATAGGCTCGCTCAGGCTCCCACCTGCCAGTCAGCAAGTTCCCAGCCACGCTCCCCACCAAACCAGCCCCTCTCCACGCCTCTCAGGCCCCTGGCCCCTGCTCTGCATGTTGTGTCTTGGACAGCCGGGTGGGCTGGTAGCCTTCTTCCTGCCTGCCTCTCTTTTACTGGGGTGTCATTTGCATGTTGTAAAGCACACAGGTCTAAGCAACTAGCCTGGCAAATATTTACATGCTCACCCAGGAAATCTCCACCTGGGTTTGGGTCCGGCCCCTTCCCAGCTCCTAGGAGGCTCCTTGGGCCCCTCCCCCCTCGTTATCATCCTTGGGGTAACTGTGGTTCTCACCAATGTCACTGTTCTGGAATTGTTTGCGCTCCTGTGTTGGGCTTGTTGTGTGAGGTTCCTCCTCGTGGTGGCATCGGCTGGGGACTTGTTCCCTGGTGTTGCTGCGCAGCACTCAACAGTGTGACTCTAGGAAGGTGAATCTGTCCTGCTATGGGCAGGTGGCCCGGGGTGACAGGCAGCCAACGCTCAGCACACAGATGCTCTGAGCAGGGGTCTTGGGGCCCCTGCAAGCTTATGTTGGCTGTGTATGCCCAGGGGTGGGGCCGCTGGAGAGCCTGAGAAACCTTCCACCCTTAGGCAGACTGCCCAGGGGGGCCTCATTCCCCGTGGAACTCAGTCACCAGGGAAGGCTTTTAAAAGACGGGCGGCTGTTCCCTCAGTGCCCTGCTGGGCTGTACCTGACTGCACTTCTTCTCTCTGGTTCCTGGCCTACCTGTGGGTGTCCAGGGTGAGCTCCACAGGTACTGTGCTGCTTTGGATGAGAGGGACGTCGAATTCCATGGCCAGAGCCAGCCAGCTGGTGCCACCCCCCGCCCCCTGCTCCCAGGCAACACCACCGATTGCGGCTGGGCCCCGTTTGGTGAGTTCCCCATCAGCCCCCTGGCATCTCCTCAAGCCAAGACCACTGGCAGGCCCAGCTTCCAGCCCTGGCCCTGCCAGTCGAGCAGCAGTGTGACATTCTTCAGTGAACCAGCCCCTCTGTGGCCATGCCCCCCCCACCCCATGCATCCTCCCCCTCTGCCAGTGCCCACGTGCCTGCATACACAGGGGTTTCCTCCTGAGAGAAGCTTCTCTTAGTGGGGAAATCTGCCGGGATTGCCTGTGTTTTGTATTGATCAGAGCTGGCAGTTAGGACCTGCCGAGTAAACAGGTGGAAGGAGAGAAATCCCAGAGGCGGGTGGGGCTGAAGCAAAGCCAGTTAAACATGTGGAACAAGATGTATAAACCACCACTGTGAATAATGGGGGTCTTATCTAATCCAAACAATGTTTATTCTGTGGTTATTTGAAAACGTGGCAACTTTATTTCCCTTTGCAAGCAAGACGTGCTGCCCTATTTTGTTTCAAAACCACCCTCTCGCCTGAGGCACTGCCCAGATGCACAGGGCAGCTGTGTGTATTTTACTGCCCACCCAGAAACATAAACTGATAGTGAAATCTAAATACTCCTCACCTTTTCCTGTTGATCTTCAACCTGTACAGATCGGGATAACTACCAGCAGCTGCTCGGGGCCCTGGATTACTCCTTCCTGTGTGCATACGCTGTCGGCATGTACCTGAGGTAGGTCTGGTTCCATGCAGGTGTGTCTTGTGTGCTGTGTGCTCAGGGCTGCATGCGGGGGCTCTGCCCAGAGACCCGGATGCACAGCATGCATGTCATGCTGTGTGGCCGGACTGTTAAGCAGCATGGTTAGGTGCCCTGGATGTCCTGCTGACTGGGGCAGACCATCTGCGGACAACTGTCCTGGCCCCAGGGTCCAGCGGGTACTGTGTGCCCTGCCAGGATGGGATGTGGGCACTTAGGAACAGGGTGCTGGCTGCCCTGTGGTGCTCAGCAGGGTGTTCCCTCTCTTGTGGTTTCAGGGGCCTCCATCTACTTACGTGTCCCAACTCATGGATGCCTCCTAGCATCGGGGTGGGTTTCACAGTGTGTGCTGTGCATGTCTGCCTGGATGCCCCACTTAGCCCAGTCGAAGCAGCTCTCCTGAGCACACTGAGGCCAAGTGCATGGTGGCCAGGGCTGTGGGCCCCAGACATACCAATGGGATGTGGATCCCAGCACCGGCACTTGCCTGTGTGGCTTCAGACTAGTTGCCACAGCGCCTTGGGCCTCAGTTCCCCCTTTGCAAAATGGGGGAAACAGCTCTTAACTACTAGGCATGTAGGAGGATCAGATGAGCAAATACAGGGGGAGCGCCCCAAGGTGCCTGGCATGGGGTGTGCCCCCGCATCTGTTACATGTGATCATTCACCATGCAAAATAGACCTGGAAGGCTGGTGCATGTCACGTGGCTAACAGGGCATGTGATTGGCCATTGAAACCTGGTATTATGCAGTGTAGCCAGGTTTTAAAAAACAAAGCATTGGAGGGACTAAGGCCTTTAGCCCAAGAAGCTTTTGTTCAGAGACTGAGAGACCTTGAGAGTTTTGAGAATCTTGAGGATCCATGTAAATGTTTGGCTGCTTTGCTGAGACCACCCAGAGTGCCCCTCCCCAGCTAAGGGCCCTTCTGCTCTGTCTGCTGATGGAGCGGATGCCCCCTATTGTATTTCCATGTTTGCCTAGCAGTGCAGAGTTTGTCCCAGGTAACAAATGAACAAGTGAATGAATGATGATGGATATGGAAGCCTAAAGCATGTGGTGCACAACAGCACGTGAGCCCAATGGAAGGGAAGTCCAGTGTAAGCCTCAGGCTTCCTAGGGCATGGGTCACAACCAGGCCACCAGCCATATTCCATCTTGAGGCCACATGTTTGAATTCTAAAGACCGCGGTCTCCCGGGGACACTACTCATCTGTAGCACAAAGAACTCAACTGTAGCACAAAGGACTCATCTGTAGCACAAAGGCTGGAGGGTGCTCTTTCTTACTAGAAGACAGTATTTAAATATGGTTCTTAGCTGGGAGTGATTTTGTCCCCTAGGAAACATTTAGCAATACCTAGAGACAGATTTGGTTGTCACAGCTGGAGAAGGGGGCACTACTGGCATCTACTAGGCAGAGGCCAGGGTTCTAATAAGCATGCCACAGTGCACAGGCAGCCCCTCTCCACAAAGAATTACTGGACCCAAGATGCCAGGAGTGCTGAGGTTAAGAAACCTGGTTTAAATAAAGTGGGTTTATTGTTGCTTATTTATTGGCAAATACAATTCTTCATGCAGCTCGCCAGTTAGGATCATTAGGAAATTCTAATGTGGCACCCACAGTAGCCTCATGACTATTATGAGAAGTGCACTGCTGCTTGTGCTGCCTTTTGGTGACATCGTGGCCCATGGCTAGTAGTGAGATCTACCAGGTGACTCAGATATGGGGGCACCTTCATTAGCCCAGGTCATTCCTTGTGGATTCAGTCGATACAGCGTGGCCTTTAGTTCCTATATGAGCGTGGTATGTGCAGAATGGCGTCCATTCCATTTTAGAACTCCCCTTTAAAAACTTTAAGCAGAGACCAACTTGGGCCTGATATTGTATGGAAAGACCAGAGGATGTTTGCAAGCCCTCGCCGATGGCACTAGCTCCCAGGAGGCCCGCCTGACTCCGCCACTTGTTCTGTGTCCCTGGGCAGATCAGCCAGCACCCCCTCGCCCCCAGAACATGTTTCCTCTTCTCTGAAGTGAAAAGGTTGAAACAGGTGACTCGTTTACTCTTGAGCTTGTGTGTGACCAGTTTCTCCTCAGCTTAAAATTTAAACTGAATATTGTGTATAATTTTAAGTTATTTCTCTGCTCTCTTGTTTCAGAGGTCATGTGCATGATATGAGGTAGATCTTTTTTATTTGGTAAATTCAAAAGGAAACGTTCTCTGGTGTGATGCTTCTTAAGACGAAAGACTGGAATTGCGGAGATAGCTCAGGAGTGCTGTTCATGGGCAGGCAGATGTCATTCTTCATCATATTTTGTATTTAATCTGACTCCTAAATCATAATGTAGAAGAAAATGAGACCCATAGAGTCTTTAATGATTGCAGCAGCTCAGAATTATTCTGTTTTCCTATTCTGTGATTATTCTGTTTTCCTATTCACTAATAAGTCACAATGCCAAGCTGTTGTTCCACAGTGTCTTTACCCACAAGGCAGTGAAGGATGTATTTCATATGACATTAGTGGTGTGGTGTGCTAGTGGTAAAAGCCTGTGAAGTGTATGCCCTAGAATGGAAGCAGAGAACCTCTCGTCCTCACCAGCCCCAGAGAGCCATTTTACTGCATCCCCATCATCCACGAGGCACTCAGGGCGCACTGATCAGCCTCACAGGAGCACCCAGACAGCTCTGGGAGGGGATTCTCCAGAGAGGTGTGCTCTTCTCTGGGTCATGTTGCTGTTCAAAAGGAGCACAGAGCCTCTACTCCCATGTTTCAGATCTCACTTAGAATCTTCTGTCTGTGAAATAGATCACAGTGGTAGATCACAGAGGGGCTAGTGGCAGGGCCTGTCCAGCCAGCGTTTAATGCAGGTGACTTAATGACAGCTGGAGGGCCTGGAGACTTGCTCAAGGTCACAAGGGATCCGTTTTCACAGCATGACATTTGACAGTTGAAATTTTAAAATACTATGTATATTTACTAGCTATTGTTTACGTAAAAGTAACTTGTCCTGTGACTTAGCAGAACAAGTTTTTTTAAATTGACAGCTATCACCTGCAAGTCAGTGTTCAAGGTCTATTATTTGATAGTTAGTGACTTATACTAGAAATAAAATCTCAAGAGAGTTTGCCAGTTGCCAATTTCTGATTGATAAATGCTCCATTGAGAAATAGTCATGATTAAATCTTCCTGGAAATTGTAGTGCTTCTAAAAGCTCAGAGAACATCATGGAAACATCCGGAAAGAAATAACTGGGTCATTTACATTATGGGTGTGTTTGTTTTCTCACATTTGTCTTCCTTCTTTTCTCCATCCTCAGTGGCATACTAGGCGAGCGCCTGCCCATCCGGTGTTACCTAACCTGTGGGATGCTGGCCAGTGGTGCCTTCACCGCTCTGTTTGGATTAGGGTATTTCTACAATATCCACAGTTTTGGGTTCTATGTGGTAACTCAGGTAAGGTCTGGGTCATGGCTCACCACATGTGGGGTTCTAGGATGAGCTGGGCGGGGTGTTTCAGTTGGGGTCACTCCCCCTGCCAAGAGAGATAGTGATAGATGACGGGAGGGGCACAAAACCGTGTCCTGTCTGATGGCAGGGTGAGCACTGCTGCGGACGTTCCCTCCTGTTTTCTGCATTGAAATTCCAGCAACTGTGAGGTTTTCCTTAGTTTCAGGGGCTGCCTCTTAAGGAATCCCATTTGTCAGTACCCCAGCAGGGGATCAAAGCACAAAGCCCCAACTCCTTCTGCCTCAATCTAGATGAGCTGGAGGCGTTCTGTCGGGTGACAGACTTGCGCACGCAAGACGTGGAGGGATGCAGTTGCGGCAGGGACTGGAGGAAGGCGGGCTCAGCTGGTGGCAGGAGGCTGTGGGAGGGGGTCAGTGGAGAGGAAGGCGGGGGCCTAGTGGTGCGTGGAGCGGCGTGAAGGTGCAGGCGGGCTGGGGCTTGGCCCTTCCTGCTGGGCTGTCCTCCCGGATACTCTTGGCTCTGCCCCTCCCAACAGCCCTGTGGGCAAATATTGACTAGAAATGGAAAATCATGTACAGTGCTGACACCCAGCATCTGAGATTGGCCAAGTAGACTGGGGGATGTTATAAAGTCATCACAGCAAGTTGTATGGAGCTGGCTTTTTAAAATTTGACCCTAGGATGTGAAGTTTGGCTGTTTTAATTATAAAAGTGATTCATACTTTACAGTAATACGGAAGGGGAAGGAAGGGGGAAAGCACACTTGCAGAGTCCCGACATGTCCCTGGAGGGAAGGCCAGGCCTGCGGCTCCCGGACTGTCTCCCGGAGAGCTGGTCATCCTGCGGGGTTGAAGGCCCCGGACTGGACCCTGTTCCCTGTCTCCTCTGAGGTTGCCCCCGATGCTCCCAAGACTAAAGCAAACCCGTCCCACATGCTCCCTAATCCCCTCTCAAATGTGAGCTTGGGGAGCTCTGGGAAAGGGGAAGCATGCCCTCCCCAGGTGCTGGGTCATGGTTATGCGCCTTCAGAGCACCTCTGGCAACAGTGCCTGCTTCCTGGTATAAAAAGTGAGAACATGCCATCTACAAGCTACATTGAAGGTACAACCACAGTTCTATTAAAAAGAGTGAAATTTTTCTCTCTTTCTATGGTTTTAGATTTGGAAGAGACTGGAAAGCCTGGCCCCAAGCTATTAACCATAGTTAATCTAGCAAGAGATTTTTTTTTTTTCTTTTCTCTACTTGTTCTAGAATTTTCACAATAGGCATGTGCTACCTTTGCCATAAAGTTCACGCACACATGTACTCTGTAAAGCACATCACACATATTTGGCTGCTGAGGCTCACATCAAATAGAGTTTTGCCCCCTTCTTTTTGTGAGAGTCCAGGCTGTGCCCCAAACTTCAGAAGAACAGAGAACCGTAAGCTTTGTGAGCCGTGCCTGGAGACGGGCGCGGGCACGGCTCGGCTTGCGCTCAATCCTCTTCCCGCTGTTGCAGGTCATGAACGGACTGGTGCAGACCACCGGCTGGCCCAGTGTCGTCACCTGCCTCGGCAACTGGTTTGGAAAAGGAAGGTGAGGGAAGGGGGCCCTGTTTGCAGTAGCATTTATTTTTTAAGAGATTCCACTGAGAACGAGACCACGTTGGTTTTAGTTTTTCTTTAGATTTACTGCGGAAAAAGACGTGGCTCATTTACTCTATGAAATACGATGATTGAAGCCTCTGGGACCTGAGGTTCTGAAATTCAGATGCGCCTCTGTTGTGGGGATGCCGCCAGTTGTGGGCGAGCGGAATCTGTGCCATTCTGCACAGCTGCCCAGCAGCATTGGCCTCACCTTCCTCAGGAACGTGGCAGAAATGCAGAGTTCAGGACCCCGCCCCCAGCCTTTTGAGGTGGTAGCCGCACTTCACAGGCCTCCCGGGCACATGGAAGTGCGGCGGGTCCAGGTCACCCAGCAGCAGTTCCGACTGCACCGCCCGGCTGGCTGGCTCACAGCGCGGCCAGGGCCCCGGCCAGGAGGCACAGGAGACGAGCAAGATGGGGAGAGGAGAACGAGGACCGGCTCTGGAGCCCAGCCAGAGCCCCTCCTTCATCTGGCAGCTTCGGCAGGGTGACTTCTGTTCAGGGCCTGTTTCGTCAGATGATCATGCTTAGATGGCAGAGCACAGTTTTGAGTTTGGGGCCTTCCAAGAATTTCGGCAGAAGGCCTCCAACCTCTCTCAGTCAGAATGAATCAGCCCCAAGGGAGAAGTGCGGTCCACAGCCCGAGGTGCAGTGCACGCACAGCGCTGACTGTGGTCCTGTGTCCACAAGACCAGCATTTGTGTCGCCTCTTTATTTCCCTGCTGGCTCTTCAACATGGCAGGCTCTGTGTGCTGCACAGACCAGCCCGCTTGAGCTTCTCCACCTTATCTGTCATCTTGTGTCTTGTGCTGCAGGCGAGGTTTGATCATGGGTGTCTGGAATTCACACACCTCTGTGGGCAACATTTTGGGGTCCTTGATTGCTGGCTACTGGGTGTCCACGTGCTGGGGCCTGTCCTTCGTTGTGCCTGGGGTCATCGTGGCAGCCATGGGGATGCTGTGCTTTCTCTTCCTCATCGAACGTAAGTACCTGTGGCCTTGGAGATGCCCCTGGGTGCACTTTGGGGACCAAGCTGTAGAGAACGTGCTGCTTCTCTTAGTCATGAAGCCTCCACTGCCCCAGCTGCCCTGCCAGGGAGACCTCCTTCCGCAGGTGTGGACTTCCCCAGTTAGCTGTTTTTCTCCTCGTCTTGAAGGATATTCTGCTGTTCCCTGATTTCTGGAGTAACTGATATTAAAATTAAAATTCCCCACCCCCATCACCAGGCACATGGTTTCCCATGTTCGGAAGGCTCATCTCCCAGAGACTGGCCCCATGGCTCCCTGGGGGCAGCACCCAACCCCTGTGGCTGCACCTGCTCACCCTGGTCTTGCTGCCTCCAACTGATAGGTATCTTGCCAGCTTGTTCACTTTCTGATTAGATACATTTTAGACAATATTATAAACCATGACATGATCTAAGCCTAGTGTCTTAATTAGGTGAAGATTGTTCAGAAAACCAAATTCTTTGTTCCATTCCAGACTTAATACCAAACTTTTGAGTGTGAAATGAACTTTAGCACAGAGCTCTGGCAGGACAAGGATTTGTAGCTGGCACTGCTGTAGCTGTTTCACATCAGGGTGTTCTGACTCACAAGCTAGTCCCATGGGTTACGCTTGGCATTTACTTCTTTGATGTGGCTTAAAGGAAAATCAGTCCTACGGTGCTACGCAGCTCCTGCTATTAGCTGCGGGTGGGTATGCTCAGGGCTCACGTCACTCCATCCATGCTGGGCATTGATTGTAGCTTCAGCTTCATATCTGGAGCCACCAGCCCCCCACCCAAAAAGCTAAGGCATATTCTATGCAGTTTTTCACTTGTTTTCCTCACTGCTAACCTAACCTTCTAATTTTTAAAATAGCCAAGTCGATGTGAGGCTCAGGGGCCAGCTTGTCTGTCAGTGAGAAGCAAAGTCAGGTTCGGAGGAGTGTGCAGACCCGCCGGCCAGCCTGGGCACAAAGGGTCGGGCTGTGGCACCCTCCCATTCCTCCAGTGTCTCCAGGGCCAAGGACGCTTTTAGCATCTCAGCATGGCCAGACAAGTGCATTATTAAGCAGATGGCGGGTACTTTGACCCCCTTTCCAACCTGCCAACCTGTGACATTTGTAGCTTGAGTGTCACAAGAGCTTGGGGAAAGGTCATTCGTGTCATCTGGTTTCCTCCAGACTGGCTCCCCACCACCTGGAGCTCTGGCACCTGTGCTCCGCAGGTGTTCATTACAATCACCTGGAGAACAGTGCACTTCCTCGTGACTGGAGTGGGGCATGCTGGGGGCCTTCTGCCCAAGGCATAGAAACCAGGTGGCTTTTACCCTCTCCCTTGACTGACAAAGGGTTGGTTCTGGAGGGAGGGGGAGAACTGTGGTGGGGAGCGGAGTGTGGCAGCAGACAGGCGCTGGCTCGCCGGCCTGGCTGAGGATCTTGGCACTGTACCCATTCGGCTCAGTGACCCTGGGCAGGGACTTGTCCTCCCCCAGTACCCCCTAGACAAGGCGACTCTGAGAGGGTCTGCACCAAGGGCTGCGCCCACTTCTGTCAGTGCCTCCCTCTTATTCCAGGCTGCACCTACCAGCTCCCCTCTCAGGGTCCTGTGCTAACCCTTCCCTGGCCCACTTGGACAGAAATGCAGTTCTCAGCTCCCGCCAGGCCTGCCAGCCCGGAAGCCAGTAGACCACACCTGTATGGTTTTCCCACTGTAGGCATGGGAGACACAGGTGCACTCTCAGACCCAGGCCTGCGCCTCCTGCTTCTCAGGTTCTCCTGAGCCCTGGAGGGAAAGGCGGCAAGCTGGCACCTGTGGGGACTCCTGGGCAACATGGGCAGGGGCGGAGTGTGTGGGGCTGCAGCCTGGCCCCAGGGGCACCCTCCACTCCTCTCTGCCTAACACGATCCTCCCGGTGTTGACGGTTTTCTTTCCTCCTGTCTAGCCAGTAGCCATCACTGCTAAGTATAGTCAAGGTGATACGAGATCCTCAGTTGAGCTCCATGGGACCACCAAGAATTTCATCTCACTGCGCCTCCCGTCTGCCCGTCCCGCCCTGGGCCTCCAGCTGCCTTCTGTGGTTTTGGGGCACATGCATCTCCACGCACTCTGGCCCACCCCCGAGCCCTGGGGTCATCCTGGCTCCTGTCACTCTGTCACCTGCTCCTAGTTCTCGCCTCTGCATTGCTGGGCGCCCCTTGACGTGGCTCATCTGTCCCGGCTGAAGGAAGTGTCCTGGTCGATCAGTTGCCCTTAACAAGCTGGCCTGGCTACTCCCTGTCTCCTCTCCTTGCTTCCCTAAGGCTGGTCCCCAGGGCCTGGCCCGTTCAGCCCATGGACACCTACTGGGCTTGGTGTTTCCCTGCCTTCCTGCAGAAGGAAGCTTCTGAGCCCTGTTCGCACTTCTTCCACGGTGTTGACTGTGCCTCTGAGGTCACATCTCCCCCTGTATTAAAGTCTGAGGTTGACCTCATTGTTTGCGTGGAATTAGACATCTCTCAAGGCTTCTTAGGAATTAGTAGCACACACTCTGGGGCTGTTCCTCCCATGTCATAATTAGGACACTTTGATGGGAGGGAAGGGGGAGGCTACCATATACCAAGCCTTCCTGTGTTCTGAGCCCTGAGCCAGGCTCGGTGCTTATATTATTCCATGGATTTCAGGGAAAAGACCTGAGGCTTAGGACACCAGCAGCCTGCCTAACAGCACACACTAGGTGGTGAAGTTGGGGTGTGACTACCTGCCAGCTCACCATTCAGACTTGCTCATACTCTGGCCATGGACGCTTTAAGGGTTATGTTCTTGTGGATTCAATTAAATTTTTTTCCATTTCGATTATTTTAAATAACCAAGCTGTCAGTTATAAATGCTGTCTTCTCTTAGATGTACTATTCACTTGAAAGGCATTTTCCTACAATAGGAGTTTAGGGTCTAAAGTCAATGTTTCTCAAACCTGGGTTACCTGGGACCCTGGGAGTTGAAAGGTTATTCTTGGGGGCTATGGGGACTCTTCTTCAAAAAGTGTCTGAGAAACACCATGTACCCATGCCTTCTCAGCCACCATCATTCCATTATCTGAGTCCACCTTGTGCCTAACCACAGCCCACGTGTTTTTGCCAGAGCATACACTCCAGTCCTGCCCTGGCATCTGTGGGAGACAGCTGCATGCAAATGGATGCAGTCCTGGGCCCCAGGCCCTTTTCTTTCCTGCCTGGGGCCCTGGAGCCTGCAGTGAGGCCCCCACAGGAACCAAGAAAGGTTGACGGGACTCGAGGCTCCTATCACTGTGGTATGTAGGCCAGACTCCCATGTCTGCTCCTTGCCTTTGGTAGGAGGGTCCCTAATATCTCTGCAGCTGGGGTCTGCAGGAGCTTCTCCATGTGCACAGCTTTGACAGGGACTCCCATGTGCTCTCCAGTGTACTGGACCTCCGAGCCCCTCCACCAGCCTCACGAGAGGAGACAGCTCTGTAGGCCTGACCTCTCCACGCACTGGGACTCCAGGCACCCAAAGGCCCTGTATCCGTGGGTGTCTATTAGCATAGAGAAGCCAATCTGCGGCTCTGAATCCCCTTTCTCCTCCTGCTCACTCAGGCCGGAGCCGGGCTCTGTGAATGAGGCCTCTCCTCGTGGCTGAGATGTCACCATCAGCCTGGGTCCTCTATAGACACAGGGCACGTTGGCCTAAAGGGACTACTTGTTGTCCTCTATAGCAGAGCAAAAAGTAAGACCGCCAGACCCTTTCTGCCAAGGGGACCGATGTCCTATCCTTTCTACGGGGCTGAGAAGGTCCACAGGCATGAATGGTGAAACCTGGCTGTGAGTGACGATGCACGGATGCTGTCTGCAAGAGCAGAGCATGGCTGACAGGAGCAGCAGACGCCATGAGCACCTCGGACATGACCACCTGTCCCTCCTTGGCCCTAACCACTGACTCGGGGGGGCAGTGGAGGTTTCAGATGTACCTCTTATCACCAGCAACAAGGGCCGGGCTCCCTCCTGTTCCTCCTTCCTGTGCGGGCCCGAGCCAGAGGGCAGGGCGCCACGTTCACAGCCCCTCGGGGTCTGCCTAGCAGCCACCCTCAGACCTGTCTCAGCCAAGGGTCATACGTGCTCATGCCCTGCAAGTTGAGAGCCAGGAAAAGCCACATACTGTGGGACTGTCCAAGCCTCAGGAGCACAGGCTTCCTGACTGACCCTGGGGGCCTCACAGTGACTGGAGAAAACCACAAGGGTAGCCACTGTCATAACCCCAAGTGACCACCTCCCCTCTCAGGTGGGCCCTCAGGACACTGCTTGGGGCGCTCCTCTCCCAACCTCAGGGCCTGGGATTAAGCAGTTGCGGTAACTGACCGAGCAGGGGACACATGTGGGTCCTTTGCAGGCTGGCCAAGCTGCCAGCCTCGCCCCCCAGACATGCCGCCTGGGGCACTCTTTTACAAAATGGTTGCTAATTGAGTAAGAGCATTATGTGGGGTGTTGTCTTCGGTGTGGGTGGGAACACCCAGCCAGGCTCACAGGTTGCTGTGTGTTTGCTCTTTCAGATCCGAAGGACATCGCCTGCTCTTCCACCCTGGCGGCGGTAAGGACTCACTCTCTGCCCCCTGCATCCCCTAGGTGTGCTGTCTGCCAGGTGTCTGGTGACTGGCACCACCCTGGTCCTGTCAGTGGCTTATAAAGTGTGGACACAGGTCCCACCCTCAAACCATCGGCAGTTCTAGAAAAGGGCTAATGATATTTCCCATGGCAAAACCGAAATGAGGAGCTTGGTGCATGTGGGTCAGGGATGTCCCAGCAGAGGGTGGCCAGAGGCTGGGGACTGGCCAAGCCGCGCGAGCAGCAGGGCCATCCTGGCCCCCCATTGGGAGGGCATCATGGTTTGACTGCAGAGACACAGCTGGCTGACATCACTTAAACGGATGCAGTGGGCATCAGGACTGCCCGCCCCAGGAGCACAGGTCCCATGTGTACTGGCCTCTGCCACCGCTGGCCTCTGGCCTCTGCTCTCACTCAGCTGATGTATGATACTGCTGTCTGGGTTGAGAAAATTGGTAGCTTGCCCCTCCTGCATGGCGTGGCCTCTGCCTGCCTTCCCCGAGTCACACAGTGACCCTCTGCCCACGGGTGGCCTCTGGAAGGGGCCCCTGCAGCCCTGCCCACCACTGCGCATCTGCCACCAACCTTCTCCCTTCCTGTCCGGCTGCCAGAAGGTGGACTCACCTCTTGGAGTGAAGCCTCCGGTGCCCTGTGCCCTGCCTAACTGGTCAGACCCCACCAGTCGCCCCTCGCCGACTTCCCTTGCATGCTCCCCTCCTTTCTCGGCCTCCCTGTGTGGCTGGAACAGCCACCAAGGCTCCCCAGGCAGCACGTGACCCTTGCGGTAAGTGTTCAGCCTCACAGCCGCAGGCGTGAACACCATGGCTGCTCCCTGCGGAAGGTTCCTCGGGCTCCAGATGCCAGTCACATGCCAGCCAGGGCCTCTGCAGCCTGCTGTCCCTGCCCCGTCCTGTGCCAGGCCCCCAGATGTGGGAACCCCCAGCCTGGCCCTCGGCCTCTCTCCACCTGAAGGGAGCCTGCACAGGCCGTGGCCCAGCACCTCCACAGGCGCTGATGTTGTGTCTCCATCCTGACCCTCTCCCTCAGTTCCGCGGTCGTGGCCCTTAGAGACGTGTGGCTGCCCTCTCACGACATAACCAGAGGGAGCTCTTCACTTCACCCCATAAACTTGCAAGGCCACTGACTTTCCCGGTTTCAGCCAGGGAGCCACTGTCAACCTGTGGACGGGCCACATGCAGAGGTGTTATCCCAGCTCCTCCCTCCTCAGCCCTGTAGCCCATCCACTGCCAGGGCCGTCGGAGGGGAGGGGTGTAGATATCTAGTTGGTGTGTGTGTCTAGTTGTATGTGTGTGTATGTGGTGTTTATGGGGGGTGGTTATTTTGTGTGTGATGTGTCTGTGGTTGTGCGGGGTATGTGTGTATTGTGTGCGGTTGTGCATGTGTGTATGTGGGGGGGGTATGTAGTGTGTGTAGTGCGTGCTGTGTGGTGTGTGTGTGGAACGGTGACTAACCTCATGGTCTGCGAAGGTTGCAGTGACTGGGCATGATGTCGGCTGCTGGTTCAGTAATTGCCCTAAGGAGAGTCTCTTGCCCCAGCAGGTGAGAGGCCCTGAGAACGGCGCGCGCAGGTTCAGGTTACAGAAGCAAAGCCCAGCCGAAGGGAAAACCAAGCCCCTGGTGAGTTGAGCCTCTGCTGCTTGGCAGGAAGTCGGAGCAGAAAGGTCAGGTCCTAACGAACCTGGCGCTGGGCTTCTCCAGTGAAACTTGAGTTTGCCCCTGGTAGATGTTTGGATCGTAGACTAAGCTTACTCTAAGCTGGTAATCAAATTTGAACATGCTTCATTCATCCAGCAATCATGCCACCCTCGATGTCACAGCACCATGCCAGGCGAGACCATGCCGTGAACGTCAGTCACAGTGGCCCTGCTCCTGTGGGGCTCACTTTTTGGGGACTAGGTACAGACAGAAAAGGAGTTTTCTGCAGAAGCTGCCAGGAATGTTGCCCCCCAAGAGAGGGAGGGGCAAGCACTTGTTCAGGCCTGGTCTTGGGCATCTTCCCTGAGTAGGTGGCCTGGGCGAGAGCTGTGGAGGGGGTGGGGGGGTGCTTCAGGTAGAGGAGAAGGGGGCGCTGGAACATGAGGTGGGACCAAGGGACAACCTAGAAAGTCGTCTTCCAGCTGTCCACCTGTCCTCACCCCACTTCACAGAAGGGGAAGTGTGGCACAGAGACGCTCAGTTACCTGCCTAGGCCTTCAGAAATGGGGACTGCGATGCAGTCTAGCTGTCTCCCATTAGCTTTTGGGGCTCACCTACCCTCTCCCTTTCAGGATGCTTCCAGAAAGTTCCTCACATGGCTTCTGCTTACCTGACCACACTGAGCCCGGAAGCATTTTAGATTTGGTTTTAATCATTGAAATCATAAACAGGCTTCTAACTCTTTTTTCTTTATTGCCTAAGGAAATTTATTCATGATGGTTGATATAATGGAAAAGGGAAAGATGGTGTGTTATATATCTTGGTCTTTGGATTTTAGGGCAATTCAACTGAAGTGCTTTAAATTTTCTGCTCTGCTCACTGCTGAGTTAACACTAAAAAATAATTGGTGTCTTATTTTGGAATGCTTTGACAAAAATATCATAGACTGGCTTAAACAACAGACATTTATTTCTCACATTCCAAACATTTATTTGTGGAGACTGCTAAGTCCAAGCCCACAGACCCGGCAGTGAGGGCCTGCTTCCTGGCTTGCAGACGGTGGCCCTCTTGTTGGAGCTTCAGTGGTAGAGAGCAGGGAGACAGGAACGCGCCGTGGGGTCTGTTCCCAGAAGGGCATCAATCCTAGTAGGAGTCCTTCACCCCATGACCTGATCACCTCCCAAAGGCCTCCTCTCCGAACACGATCACATTAGAGATTGGTACCCAGCATACAAATTTTGGAGGAACATGAATATTCGGTCCATACTATCAGGTCTTAATTGATGTCCAAATAGCTTAGTTCCTCTCTGACTGTTCTGAAGACACCTTTTCCTTTGAAGCTAGGCCCCAGGCCCTATGTTCTGTGGAATTACCAGTGAAGTTAGCCCTGCCTTTGAGTATAACTTCTCTGCTCCTGCTACAGAAATCTGTTCATGCACATGTCACCAAAAAGGCAGTTACATGTTTACAGGCCCCGGCGGGTCTTGATTCAGGCCCGAGGCTGCGCCCCAGCTGACCTGGATGCCAGCATGGCCAGGCGGGTGTTGGCCCTGGCCCCTTGTGTCCCCTTTACCTGATCCCTGCACGGGGCCTGTGAGCACTGACCTGGGCTGCATCCCTTGCCCTCGTGTGGCAGAAAGAGCTCATGCACTGAACATGGCTCTTGGATCAGCAGGCAGGATGTCCCACAGGATTGACAGGCTGTCCTGGGGTCCCCTTTCCCAGAGTGGCCAGGCTCAGGTCACTGAGCTCGGTGTTGGGCGTCACCCAGCCCCCAGTCACCGCTGCTTTTCAGAAAGTCCTGCTGATCTCTCTTGTGCATCTGGCCGGACCCTCAAGGACTTAACCAGAAGAGTACAGGTACAGGTGAGGAAACCCATGAGAACAAAGAGAAAGAGGCTGTGTGTCATGTAGCCCTGTGGTGGCCCCTTTCCCAGGGCTTGTGGTCCGCGTGATGCTTGTCTTGGGGGTGGGTGAGATGTGTCGCCTTTGTAGTCACGCATCCTCATCATCCTTGGCTTCTCTGAGGACCTTTCTGATGGACTGAGGCTCAGCGCACTTCATGAGCCCGGCGGGGCTGTGCAATGCTGCAGGTTACCCCCGGCATCCCAGTGGGAGTGGAACTCCACAGCAGCCTGATGGGGAGGGCCTTCCTCCCAGGGCAGCTGCAGGCAGCACCAGAGGCACGGGCATTATTATGCTCCCACCCCCACCCCTGCGTATGTTTTAATGGCACAGAGCCCTTCAGCCCTTTGGCAGTGCATACCTGGGCATGGGTGCCCTGGCTGACAAGGTCCTGCCCCTGCTAAAGGCCCCACAGATCCTGCCAGGTCCTGTGGAGCTCAGGGCACAGATTTCCTGCGTCCTGGGCTGCCCAGTGATTCTTTGGCTCAAGAATGAGGCGGTAGCCTTGTGCCCATGAATTGTTTTGGAGAAGCCACTCGAGCCTCAAATTTCCCTGTTTCCTCTAAACACTGCAAACAACTGGGATTTGTTGGCCAAGAGCCCCCCACCCCCACCCCCAGACATAAAAACGTGGGTGTGCAGCAGCCCCTTAGCTAAGGTGTGAAAGGGCCAGCAGCAGCTTCCACCAGCCAGCGGGCAGCCCCTGCAGCACCTCCCAGAGCACAGGAGGGCTGTGACGGTGACCCAGGGGTGTGACTGGGGGTGCTGTGCTGGACCTGCAGTTCCTACTGTCAGAGTCTCCTGCCAAAGAGGAATCTTTTAGCTTTAATTTTCTCTCTCTATCTGGCTGCATTTCAACTGCTCGTCTGCCTACTTAATGTTTAAAACCATGTCCTGCCATTTCAGCCTCGGCTGCAGGTTGGACTGCCTGGGGTCTGCCCCCAGAGGCTGCCCTCAGTGCTTGGGTACAGCCTGGGCACCCAGCTCTCTCTCAGCCCCAGGGACGTCAGTGTGCAGCAGGGGTGAAAACTATTGGTTGAGTCTCCTAAACTGGATGGCCAGCATAGCTCATGAGCAAAAAGTTCACTTCCAAAAGCAAAGCATACTTCTCTGTTTTCATGTGCCTTTCTGGAATTATCATTAGGGAGGAATTATGCTTTCCCACTGAGGGCTTGTTATCTTCATTCTGAAACATCCGAGTATATGGTTAAATGAGAATATGTCCATCAGAAGGCCATCGGAATAGTGGGCGCCCAAGGGGTATGGCACAGGGTGCTGAGCACGCTCTGTGCTGTAGGTACTGTAACCTGACCCCCAGCTTCTCAGTTCCCACTTTTCACTGGAAGAGAGGTCTAAGTATGGAGAGAGGGATGCAGCCATGCCTTATCATTTTCTTTTTTAACTGCTTTTCAAATGCAACTTGCATGGGTTACAGTGAGATAAATACAATAAAACCTGTTTGATTTGTGTAAAGTCTGAACCACATAGAAACATTTCAAGTCCTCAAACTTCATAGTTCACTGATGAAGAACATTGTTAGATCTTCCTTGTGCTGACTTAACACCCCACTGGGTTGGGGACCGCTGTTCTTTGCTTTAATGAAGACAACCTTTGTCCTTTAAGAATGTCTAGAATTGGCATTTACAAAGTATTAGAACTGGTTTATGAATCTTAAAATAATGTTACTAATAACATATGTCCACTGTGAACTCCTTAAAAAAAATAGGATTGTATAAAGAATTTATTGACATTTCCTTAAAATTACACATAGTTCCTCTGCTTGGTGATAACCACTGTTGGTTTAGAATTTAGCTTCTGTTTTGCTATAAATAGATCTTCTAGTTACCTGGTTCTCTAGGTAAATATTTAAACATTCTTTGAGATCGTAATGAAATGCAGTTTTGAATGTTGCCTACTATTTAATATGTCATAAGCATTTTCCCATGTCATGAAAAATCTCACAAACTTTTTTTTTACAACTGCAAGATGTATCATTTATATGGATATACTTTACGAATTTTTCTCAATGGTGGCATGACATTCATTTTATCATATAAGCATTTTTCTACTTTTCCAGTTATTTTTTTGGTTTCCTAGAATTGCTGAGTCAGGGCTGTGCATGTTTTCAGTTAGTTCCAGTTAGTGAATGCTCATGATTGTAAAACGATGGCTGTGGCGGGAATGTTACCCATGATGCCCCCCAGGCAGTTAGTGGAGCAAATGAGTCCTGAGGAAGCCTGGCCTCACCAGGACCCCCTGGCAACACCTCTCGTCTGCTTTCTTCCTGGTGGCGTCCACCCCAGGACCCCGAGATGCAATGCTTACTCCTTTCGGATGGAACGCGCTCTGCACATCAGAACCACATCATCGTCCTCCCGGCCGACGGCGGGGGCATGGCCGCCATCAGCTTTACAGGCGCCCTGAGGATCCCCGTGAGTACCTGTGCCTGGGAGGAGCTTCTAAAGGGACATCTGTGCCTCCTGTGAGGAGACACTGGTGTGCTGGCCATCCAGCTCAGAGAAGGAGCCGTGGCTACACAGTCCTCAGGGTGGGAGCCCACAACCCGAGCAGGAAGGCATGAGCAGGTGGTGCAGGACTGAAGGAGGCTGTGTGTTTTGTCTGCCTCTCATACCGTACTTAAAAATTTTTTTAAATTAGTTGTCTACATGAAGAAATTCACAAATCTCACAAATAGAGGTTCCCATCTTCACTTGAAAAACCAGAAACTCTGGCTCCACTGGGCCTGCACCCATGGCCCAGTCCCTCCCCGGGCCTCCCTGGCCACCCACTGGCCCCTGAAACCCCTGAGTGGGAGTCCTTGAAGACACCGTCCCTGAGTTCTGCTCTGTGGCCTGGTGAGCCCGCGTAGTTCTCCTTACCCCTTAAAGTGCTTTCAGGAGGACAGACCCGGCCTGATGGAGTATGTGTGCTAATGGGGAAGGAGCACGAAGGGGAGTGTGCAGAGACACAGGCAGAGAACCAGAAGCCACCCCTCGAGGCAGGAAGCTGGTGTCCACACACTGGACTTGTGCTTTGTTTCAAAATCGGGTGTGCTGGTCCTTGTCAAGGCAGCTGGCCCTGACTCCAGGCTAGTAAGCACGCACAGTACCTGCTGCCGGGGGCCCTCAGATGAGATCAGGGTGCCAAGGAGATCCAGGGAGAAAGTTATTCCAAATGGGGTGGGGGACGTGTGCGCCAGGGGGATTCCTGGCTGCTTTCAATTTTCCTTTTGTTAAGTTCATGGGCTGCCTCAGTAGAGAATCTGCGGGGCTTTCAAAAAACATGTGGGAGCTGTGTTCTGACTTGGTGAGCCACAGAGGGCAGCAAAGCAGAGCTGAGAGCAGAAGCAGGTGGAGAGGGGAGGGAGAATACACTGCCCACGTGGGGCAGCACGCGCAGGCTGGCACTGTGGCCAGGCCTTGTGGACCACACTTAGAAACCTAGGTGCCTGCCCATAGGGGCTGATAGTCAGAGGAGCCAGTGAGTGTCCCATAGCAGACAACACAGGCTTCAGGAGCGCCCGCCTCGGGGAGAAAGCCAGGGGGAGCTCAGACCCAGGGCCCCTTTGCTATTGGGCAGGGCTGGAAATGAAGGCTGGGCACCTGGACCTTGGAACCCGGTCACAGAAAGGAAGGAACTTAGGAGAGCTCCTGCTTTGGAACAGGAAGTCCTGCTGGTGCCCAGGTGCAGGTGGGGCTGCAGAAACCCTGGAGCCACTGGAGAACGTGAAGCCCAGGCCCGAACTCCCAGAGCCATCGCAAAAGATCCCTGCCAGCTGTCCTGTAGGAGATGCTGGTTTTAAATTAAAAGTTATTTTCAGATTTTTGTTGGTAACTGGTAACCTTTCTGTTGTACCTTATTGTGTAACTACTCAAACCCTTTTGCTGAAAGTTGGGTGCACACTAGTTCTACAAATGAAAGTAGAGTCATGGAGAGAACAGGCTTCTGAGCCATGGCCAGTCTTGACCGCAGCCCTGCCCCAGATGAGCTGGGTGTCATGGGGATGTGTGTTAACCACTCTGAGCCACCGTGTCCTTACCAGTAATACCGGTCCAGCACCTGTGTGATACTTACGGACCGCGGATACAGCCAGGTCATTACTGAAGCACAGAGCACCGTGCAGGCACAGGGTGGGCATGCCAGGGATCCCTCACGCACACCCTCATCCTAGGGTCGAGTGTCGAGACAGGCGCTTGTCTAGTTTCAAAACCCCGCTGTAAGCTGAGCAGCGTGTTCCCTGCTGGACTGGGCACACAGCGTGGCGCCTTAGCCTTCTCCCGTTTCTCACTCACATTTTCCAGATGATGGCTCACAGCACCACCACCCTGTCTACAAGCAGTCATGAAATGGAACACAAGCTTCCCCCAGGCGCCACCAGCCTCCAGGCCTCGGTTGACTCACGAGAACCTGTGTTTCTCCCCTGACATTCCCCCAGCACCGCAGGTTGCTAGTCAGGCTGCAGCAGCCTGTGTCCTGCACAGTGGTACCCCCAGGTCAGCTTCGGTGTCAGGGAGAGAGGGCCCTCTGCTCGTGGGCGAGCCGGCCCTTCCCTCCACCACACTCTGAGAACTAGAATAGCTCAGTTTTCAGAACATTGCAGTGTGAGAACCTCATCAGTGCATACTTTTATTGACTGATCTAATAGGGCACTACGTTTCAATCCTGAAAGGTAGCCGTGTGCTGGCAGCATGCCCCGGTCAGGCCTCCACTCTCTGGGCAGCCCCTCAGCCTCTCCCCGCACATCTGCACATGCTAAGACCAGCCTCCCATGCAGGTGCCAACATGGAACAACACAGTTTGTGATTTTGCGGCGTATTTAAGTAAGCCTGCTGAGTCCACATTTGGGGTGCATACAGGCTCACTCTCTCTTTCAGGGGGTGATAGAGTTCTCTCTGTGTCTGCTGTTCGCAAAGCTGGTCAGCTATACTTTCCTCTTTTGGCTTCCACTGTACATCACCAGTGTAGGTGAGTCTCTGTTGCTAGAAGCACATGTTAAATTCTAGGCAGTGCCTATGATCTGAACCCCCTTGTATCCGCTGGTTGCTGTAGTCTTGGAAAGGAAAGGTTGTGTGTGACAGTGATGGTTAAATGTATAGACAAAAAGAGAATTGGATATGGAAGTGTCATTGCCATAATAATGGCCTCATTGGGGCCTAAAGGGTTGGCCTGATTCCCCACCTGTGGTGGCCAGTCCCCAGGGCTCTCCCTACTGGGGGCCTGGCAGGATCATGCCCTGTGCAGATCTGAAAGCGGAGGGTCGGAGGTGTCGCAGGGCCTCCTGCAGTGCCAGTGCCTCCCCTGCCCTTCTGGGTGGCGTTTGACGGCATGGCTGAAGGACACTGGCCAAAGGCGGGGTGGTGGGTGGTCACAGTCCAGAGCCAGGACCCTCACTGTGTGGCTACAATGGTTTACTCTGCATCCTTCCTGGGGGTCTGCCCACATGGACTACTTTTATTTTCTTTTACTGTCAGTCAACTAGTAATTGCTGCTCAGTTTTGGTCATGCTATGGAACAAAGAATGTCATGCGTGGGTCCGACAATGCTGTGGCCCCTCACGGTGGCTCTGTGCTCCCCCCACTAGATCACCTTGATGCCAGGAAAGCCGGGGAGCTCTCCACCCTGTTTGATGTGGGCGGAATCTTCGGTGAGTTCGTCACCACTTGTTCCATGACAGAATCGTTGGCAACCTGACAGCATCATCCCCTGTGGCCCGTGACCCCTTCGGGCTGACTTACTGCCGACAGGAAAACGTGTCCCCAAGGTGTCTCACCACGCGGGCGGCCCTACAGAAGGCCCCTCTCCCGCGCCCCAGGCCCTGACTGCGAGCCTGAACGAGCTGCAATCACAGCAGGTGGCCCTGTGGGCATGGGAACTGAACAGGTGCTTCAGGTGTGGGGCTGCGGGCCAGTGGGAAGCCAGCCCCCAGGCGCCCCCTGTGTTCCTCTGAGAGACGCCTTGGGCCGCTCGCACTCGGTGACGACTGCTACAGGCCCGTTGGGAGGTCATGCTCAGGCAGCCTCCTGGCGCGTGGCGGGGTGCACCAGGCCGTGAGAAGGGAGATGGCTTTCATCTTGCTGCTGTAACATAGATTAAACTGCTTCTTGATGGGATTGTCTCAAGATGAGCCTGCAGGACCCGCCCCTCTGCCTTGCAGGTGGGATCCTGGCAGGTGTGATCTCAGACCGACTGGAGAAAAGGGCCTCCACCTGCGGCCTGATGCTGCTGCTCGCGGCCCCAACGGTGAGCCTCCCCTGCCCCCGATGCTTGTCTGGAAACTGCCACCCTCTGTCCTCCACACCAGCAAACACTGTCCAGCCCAGCTCAGCCCTCCTCATGGCCCCTGGTTCCTGGATCCCAGCCTTCAACTCTAAGCCCTCAGGCCTGTGGAGCCCACACCCCTGGCTTGCCCACATGACCCACAGCGGGCGCCACTTCCTCTCAGTCACCCTTGGCCCCGCAGGCCCTGCTCCCTGAGGGCCACCCTCCCCTCACAGGCTCCTGCTCAGCCTCCCCCACCTCCCTAGGCAGCCGTGACCACCCACCCCAACACTGGGCTTGGCCACTTTGTAAGCATTCAGCAGCCATGACCCTGGGCAGGCGGCTTCCCCTCTCTCTGCCGATTTCCTCACCTAAAAATGAGGGGTACAGGACCACCACCTGACAGTGAGAATGTGAGAGCTGAATGGAACATCATCACACCATCACTGTTCTTACAACCCTGCTGCTATGAGTAACATCATTATTCACCAACTTGTACTACAGCGGCTGCCCACCTGCACCTCCACTGACTCCCCAGACAAGGCCTAGCTCTCAGTCATCTTGGGCCTGTGGACACTGCCCACCACAGTCCCTCAGGGAACCTTTACTAAGGAAATGACAGTGGGGCCCGGACAGTGGGGGTTCGGGACAAGGTGGGCACTGCCTGGACGCCTGTGTGCAGACCACCTGCCGGGGCCACCTGGCCTTAGTTCCTCTCGGGAGTTCCGCTCTCCAGTGGGCTGCCTGGGACTCTCCTGCCTGCCTTTCCAGAAATCCAGATTCCTGGGCAGGCCCTCAGCTACTTCAATGCACCATTGTTTTCTCCTGTTTCTCCACCCCTCACAGCTCTACATATTCTCCACCATTAGCAAGATGGGTCTAGAAGCCACTGTCGGTGAGTCCATGGCTCTTTCTGTCCTTCCACACACTTTTTGTCCACACAGCTTGATGAAATTAAGCAAAACAACAAAAAGCCCCCAGCCGGTGTAGCTGGAGCCTAATGGGCCACAATGGCCCCCTGCTGCTCTTCGGGTGGGGCCGCTGGGAGAGGCACGCAGGGCAGAAGGGCTGACACCCACAGGCTGGAGAGCAAGCTTGGGGGAGTGCAGGCCACCTGGCCTGGGGTGCGAAGCTGTGGTGCCCAGCAGCAAGGAGCCATCAGAGGAGCAGCCTGTCCCCTGCACGGTGGCAGCGGGGCTGCAGCAGCCTGGGACCTGCACCCCAACTAGAGCCGCCAGACCTCCAGCTGCTCCTCCCAGCTGACTGGCAGCTGCCGCCCTGGGAGCCACGGCATGACCTTGCAGGACTGGCTTTAACTTCCTGTGGGCAGTGCTGCCAAATCACGGCTGCAATGCTTAGTGCATAGTTTTTCTGTCCTGACAAACCAGCACTGGGGATGGGAAGGGTTGTAGGCTATGTGTGATGCCATTAAAACTTACCCAGAACATATCCATGATGTGAGGTGGGCCCAGAAGCTTCTGCACCAAGGAATGTGAACCAGGTTGGTCTGGGAAGTATGCATCTCAGAACCGGGTCAGTTATCCTGCTGTGGGGAGCCTGGCAGTGCTGGGTGTCTGGGCCTCCCTGGGGGGCTGCCATTAGCTGCTGGGAGGCAGTCCATTCTGTTGTGGACACGGCTGTGGCCAGTATCAGCATCCAGCCGATATGGGCGACAGGGGCCCTCGCTCCCCTGGGTCACGGCTGTGCACCCTCACCTCATATCAGCAGCAGCCCCCTGTAGAGAGCCCAGGCAGCAGTACTGGGGCCTCGAGCACAGCCTGAACCTTTGGGAGAGTGTGACTGGGCTGAGAAGACTATCTCAGGGCAAGTTTAGAAGAGGGTGCTCATGACGCTGACACCAGTCGTCACCACTGCAAAACACTCAGGCCAGGCCCCGCACGACACTGGGTGCCCACCCAGGGGTGGCTAGGAGCAGGGCAGCTCTCCAGAGGGAAGAGCTGCCTATTTCCTCACCTAAAAATGGTTTCCGGTTTCCACAGCCATGCTGCTGCTCAGCGGGGCCCTGGTCAGCGGGCCGTATGCCCTCATCACGACCGCCGTTTCTGCCGACCTGGTGAGTGGCCGCGTCTCAGCCAGAGCCCAGGCCAAGGGCCTACCGTGGTCACCTCTTCCACTCATGACAGATGATGTCTGTTAGTAAAATCGTGCATTTATGTAAGCACCTCTTACAGGTGGCTGATGTCTATGCTGTTAAGAGTCTTCTGCAAACAAGGGGAGGTGTCAGCCCCATTCTGTCAATGAGGGGCTGAGATGAGATGAGGGGGCTGGTCTGAGGCTCAAGGCGTGGTCAGCAGGCCGGCCCGCCCCTCTGGGCTGCCCTCGCTCATTCCCTGGAGGCTGGGGCCCTGTGCCCAGAGCCGGTCCTTGGGGCCCAGGGCTGTGGCAAAATGAGGTCAGCTCCTCCCCATCGTCCTGCCCGGTCTGTGCTTGCCCTCTGCTGGTCTTGGGGACTGCAGAGACCGACCAGACGGCTGCCCCCGCTCCCACTCCTGGGAGGACATACTGCAGAGAGGAAGCTGGCATGGTGAAGAAACAATGCACAAGCTGATAAATGCCAAGGCCGTAGTGGCCTTGGACCCACAGGAGCAGCTGCCCAGTTCTTCCTGGAAGAAGGGGGCTGCTGCCAAGATGGTGTGGGGTCCCCATCAGAGGCCCAGGGAGGCGGGCCATTCTGGTCCATCTGACATGAAAGCTGTTTCACGCAGGAGTCATGTGCTGTCATCTGCAGGCAGCACCTCACTGAAATACAAATCGCTTCATAGAAGTCTTTTCCATAAATAAATGGGAAAGAAAAGACAAACCCCACCCTCCCCAAAGTGAACTTATGGAGATGCTCTGCCCTGCTGGCCCAGTGATCCTCTGTCTTCTGCGTTTCTCCCAAATACCTCCAGAATGAGACCCAGAACTCGCCAGCCACCAGCTCGTTCTCTCATTCAAAAACCGCGGCAAGCCCGGGCCTCTGCAGGCCTTGGCTCCTGCCCCTATCCGCGTTCTCTTAGGGCCACAGGCAGACGTCAGCCCGACACTCAGCCCCGTCGGAGCAGCCAGCTCTCTGGTGCGTGGTCCTCAGCATCTTGGGCCCTTCCCACCCCCCAGGGACCCAGAGGCCAGCCGCGAGAAGCAGAGCAGAGAGGCCCTGGGAGCTGGGACTCTCTCATCTTCTGTAGGCCGCTGACCTACAGCAACAGGCCCACCTTTTGTTGACAGTGCTCCTGAAACTGCCTTTATGAAGCATGTCCATGTTCCTGTCTGTATGGGGCATAGAAAAGTCTGGAAGGGCCACACCAGACCAGTAACAGTTGTCTGTCCCTGTTGGATTAGAAGGAGAGGAGAACTTTCACTTCTCTTTTTAGACTCCAGAAAACATGGGTTATGGGTGATCATCACTTTGCGTTTTTGCTTCATCTTATAGGCTTAGTACATAAACATTCATAAGCATTTGTTTTTATAGCCTCTGGCTTATTTTAAGTCTCAGGCTTTGGGGCACTTCCTGATTCAGCTTCTTCCTTTTGTTGTCCTCCATTTGTGCATCTAGGAAGATGTTTGTGCATCATTTTGCCACAGCCCAATTAAGTCTTGCTTTATTACATTTTATTGTACCTCACTTCAATTACAAACTGAAGGCATGCGGCCCCCTGCGTGGAGCAGGTCTGTCAGCACCGCTTCCCAGCGGTGTGTGTGCACTTCATGTCTCCGTGTCACGTTTTGGTAATTCTCTCAATATTTCAAATTTTTTCATGATTATTTATTATGGTGTCTGTGATTGGTGATTTTTAATGTTACTATTGTAATTGTTTTGGGGTGCCACAAACCACACCCATGTAAGATGGTGAACTTAACCGATAAGCACCATGTGAGTTCTGACACTCCACCATCTGGCTGTTCCCCTGTCTCTCTCCTTTCCTCGGGCCTCCCTATTCCCTGGGACACAACAATACTGAAATCAGGCCAGTTGCTGACCCCGCGGTGGCCTCTGAGTGTTCAGGTGGAAGGAGGGGTCGCACATCTCTTCAAACAAAAGCTGATGACTGAGCTCAGTGAGGAAGGCGCACTGAAGCTGAGATGGGCTGAAAGCTGGGCCTCCTGCCCCAAATAGCCAAGTTGTGAAGCAAAGGAAAAGCTCTTGGAGGAAATTAGAAGTGCTCCTCCAGTGAACACAAATGATAAGAAAGTGAAACAGCCTCACTGCTGATATGGGGAACGTGTGGTCTGGGTGGGAGACCAAACCAGCAACGACAGCCCTTTAGCCAGAGCCTCATCAGAGCAAGGCCCCGACTCTCTTCAAGTCCATGAAGGCTGAGAGAGGTGAGGAGGCTGCAGAGGAAAAGCTGGAAGCCAGCTCAGGTTGGTTCATAATGGTTGAGGAAAGAAGCCGTCTCCATGGTATAAAAGTGCAGGTGGAGAAGCAGGTGCCGAAGGAGAAGCTGCAGCAAGTCACGCAGGAGATCCAGCTCAGGTCATCTGTGCAGGCGGCTGTGCTAAACGGCAGATTTTCAGTGTAGATGAAACAGCCTCTGTTGGAAGAAGATGCCACGTGGGACTTTCATACATAGCTGGAGAGAAGAAGTCAGTGCCTGGCTTCACAGTTTCACAGGACAGGCTGACTCTCCTGTCAGGGGCTAATGCAGCTGGAGACTTTCAGCCATTGCCCATTCCCCAGTCTGAAAGTCCTCGGGCCCTGGAGATGATGCTAAATCTACTCCGCCTGTGCTCTGCAAATGGGACAGCAAAGCCTGGGTGACAGCACGTCTGTTTACAGCATGGCTTCCTGAGAATTTCCAGCCCACTGTTGAGACCTGCTGCTCAGAAAAAAGATTCCTTTCGAAATATGACTGCTCGTTGCCAGTGCACCTGGTCACCCACGAACCCTGATGGGGATGGACACCGAGATTCATGTTTTCACGCCTGCCAACTCAGCCTCCATTCTGCAGCCCATGATCAAGGGGTCATTTCAACTTTCAAGTCTTATTATTCAGGAAATACATGTCGTAAGGCTCTAGCTGCAGGGAGAGTGATTCCTCCAGTGGATTGGGGCAAAGTAAACAGAAAGCCCTCTGGGAAGGATTCACCATTCCCAACGCCATCGAGAGCATTCGTGATTCATGGGAAGAGGTCAGAATGTCAGCATGAACAGGCATTTGGAGGAAGTTGATTGCAGCCCCTGTGCCTGACTCCGAGGGGCTCAGGCCTCCGGGGAGGAAGCAGCTGCAGGTGTGGTGGGAACGGCACGAGAACCAGGACCAGAAGCAGGGCCCAAGGACGGGGCCGCCCTGCTGCCTCTCAGGTCAGACCTGCCCGGGTGAGGAGCTGCCCCTGCAGAGGAACCAGGAATGGGCTTCCCTGAGATGGAATCTGCCCCCAGGGAGGGTGCCAGGAGGACTGTGGGACACGACGTCCACTGAGCTGAGGAAGCAGTGGCAGGGTCTGAGGACTGACCCAGTTCTGAAAGCAGGTCCGCTGTGGGTCACACGCTCTCAAAGAGCATCACACGCTACAGAGAGCGCCCGTGAAAGAGTCCATCAATGTGGTAGACTTCACTGTTGTCTTATTTTAAGAAATGGCCGCAGCCACCCAGCCACCACCACCCTGCTCGGTCAGCAGCCACCAACATGGAGGCAAGACCCTCCCCAACAAAACGAGTGTGACTCACTGAAAGTTCAGGTGGCAGTTACCGCTTTTTAGCAATAAGGTATTTTAAAATGAAGATGTGCCCACTGTTGTCTTAGACCATTGCTGTTACACACATAATTAATTTGGACTACAGGGTAGTGTGGGCATAATGTCTGTGCACACTGGGAAGCCAGATGGTTCACTGACTCTTCGTTGCATGCTGGCTTTATGGCAGCAGACTGGCACACACACCAGTGACCCAGTATGCCTGGGCATGTGGCTTTGAAAGCCAGGGCTCCTGTTGGTTTGTTCTTCAGTACTTGTGCCCCCACGTTGGGTTTTTGGGTCCTGCCCTCTGCCCCATCCTCCCTGGCAGTTTCATTAACCAGGTTGACTTATAGATACTGTAGAGTCATCTGACCCATGTCACAAGCCCTTTGCAGAAACGTGGAAGGGGTTGTTAGTGCTGNAATGTCTGGAGCTAGGTTCTTGTGACATTTAAAAACTCACTTCTGAATTAATTTGCCCCATGAAATTGATGCATAGTCACATATGGCCATCCGAGTCTGATTATGTGTGAGGGGATCAGTTCAGCAGGATGTGCTTGGGTTGGGGTGACCTTCCCAGCACACTCAGATCCCACACTTGGGGTCTGCTGGTCCTGCCCTGGACATCACCTCTGATCCTCCCGCTGTGAATACTCTTCCTTCCATTACACCCAGCTGGGCTCTCCTGTGGGGTGAGATCTGAAACGGATAACAACGTGTTGGAATCTGCAGATGTCGGAAGGCAGCTGCCTGCTAGCACCCTGTCCTCAAGGGCGTGAGGCCGGAAATCCGTGTGTGACGGGCCTTAGAATTTGTTAACCAACAGCAGTGTGTGATGCTTTGCTGTGACCCAACCCAGAGGTGGGCCAGAGGCCCCATCCTTGGTCAGCCTTTCTTCTAATGTCTTGGGTTGTGATGGAATTGCAGCCCAGAGCAGAGCTGAGCTTAGGTGGCTGCACCTACGTGATTAATTGTAGTTCGTCTGGTGTGGTTATGGCTGGCGCTGGCTCACCCAGCTGCCCTGGTGGTGGAAGACGGGCCTCTGCCGGCCCCTCGGGTGGCTCATCTGTGTTGCCCGAGGACGAGGCAGGAGTCACCCCACGAGGAATTCCAGGTGGGTTGCATGGGGTTGTGGGCTCAGGGGACACAGGCTCTAGAAAGCGGTGCAGTATGTCAGCGCATGTTAGTCCTTTTGGTGGGGAACTATCATCTCTTCCCCCTAACTCCAGGACAGATCTCGTCCCTCAGGTGCCCCTGACTTGCTGTGACCCAGGAGTCGGAAGACCAGGGTCACGATTAGCATGAGCTGGAGGCTGTGGGCTGGCGGCTGTGGGAAGGGCGTTCGGGACAACAGGTTGTCACCAACGCACCTGCTTTTATACCCCTGTTAGGACTTCCAGCAGCACTGAGAATGGGGGTATTAATTAATAATTGGAAGCACTTACATTTCACAAAGTCTTTGCACATCCGTGGTTTCCCTTGATCCTGACGGTGACTGGGGCAAGGTGTTATCCTTATGTGTCCTTGAGGCAGCAGAGGCTCAGGGTGTAAAGTGTGGCCATCCAGGCAGGAAACCATGAAGCTGGGACCCACTGGACTTCCGGGCTCAAGGGCTGGCTCTGTGGTGACAGTGGCTCTTAAGACCACTGTGCATGCAGAGAATGTGAGCGTGCAGGCCAGACCCACAGCTGCGTCCGTGAGTCTTATCCGGCCCCTCAGAACCAAGGGCGTCATTTGTCAGATGGCTGACGAGGGCCATGTGTGGCCTTAGGAACCCACTGCCATTTCGTTCAGGCTCAGATATACAAGCCCCCTAGAAAAGCCATTGCATAAAATAGTGCTGTTTTCGTATTTCTCTAACTTTAAGGGGCTCCTCTTGGTTATGAGGGCTGGGATTTATGTAAACACATCAGCCAGCCTTTGCCTCAACCATCGGCTGCTGTTTGCCCTCGTGAGCCCTCTCCTCCCTGCTTTGGGTGGTCTCCATGCTTCCCAGGGCCCCTGAGGTCTTGGTCCTGCCCATTTCAGGGTTCGTGGGCAGGCTGGGCAGCAGGAGGTGGCTGTGGCCCCTGCTGCAGAAGGCAGAGCCCCGGAAGCAGACCTCCAGCCTGATGGCCTCGGCCCTCCAGTGGCTCCACATTTCTGACTCTATCTGACTTGGCTAAGATGGCTCCTATTTGTCCTCCTGGAACACCTCCAAGAAAGACGTGTGACGGGGGAGAGGGACACAGGGAGCGTTCTGCTCAGCATGTGACAGGGAACCCCAGGGCAGCAGGAGCTGGTTTGGAAGCAGAGGGGGAGAATTCCCTCCAACAGATTTGAGTGACTGGCTATAATAGCCACTGGGTTCCATGAGGATCAGAGGCGATCCTGTCCACGGCAATTCCCCAGTGCATAAATGAGTAGAAAATACCTAGAATTGGAGGGGTTTGCTTTCTATGTGGAATTGGATTATAGTTAGTTGTTATTCCCTATCCCCACCCTCTTTTCCCAAAGGATTTGGGGATGGCTCTGCCATCAAGGTCAGCGGACCTGGCAGGTGACTTCAGACAGGTGTGGGCCCCTTTCCCTCATTCAGGACTGAAGTCTCCAAGTCACCTTTGCCCAAACCACACAGAGGCCCGCAAGTCTGAGAGCTCTGCCTTAGGGGTTTTCTGCTCATCCCACTAGAACTGAGCGCTGACCTCTGCTCGGTGTCCACCCCAAACCCCCACTGGAGACAGTATGGGTGGCTCAGGATCATTTTAGGACAAAGACCATCCTCTGTGACTCTTCCTGGGTCTCTGTGTCACAAAGTACAAAGGGAAAAGACTGGCCATTTCAGCAGATTTCAGGGCAAGGAAGGCTAAGGGGCATCATAGTCTATTAAGTTTGTTTTTAAAACAATAAGGCAGGACTTAGAAATTGGCAACTGACTATTCTATGTTTATTTGAGGCATGATGTGAATCTGTAATGGCAGTCTTTATTCAAAACCTGTCTCAGTTAAAAAGAAATATTTGGTTTAGCAAAGGCTGTGCTGGGGAGGAATTCCGAGAAACCAAAGTTGGGTTTAAGCATCTCTAGTCCAAACAGCTGGGGGGCCATTGGTTTGCACGTCTGCTGAGGTAAAGGATGAACTCATGTTAAATCCAGTGGATTGGGCAGTACATTGCTTTGTACATTGGGGGAGAAATTCTCACCATTTTTTATCCATAGGAAAGACACCCATTGTGCATCTTAGAGTTTAGAAGGTACGGAAAGCAGTATCAAGACAGAATACCAGACCTTAGGAACATTATTACAGCCAAATGGAATGTATCTTAAGGTTCTGAGGTCGTCGGCACCGTGCCTTATTTCCCGAGCAAAGTGCCCTGTCCTGGAGACAGAGATCCCTCCCTGAAGCTTTAGGTCATTACCACAAAGCCCAGATGGAAGCCAGGTGTGAGGTCACCGGTTGGCTGCTGCCCAGGGCAGACTTGCAGCCAAGTGACCGACCAGTCAGTGGCCGATCTGCCACCGGGCTGTACTATTGCTCTCATTGCTGCTTCTCCTGCTTTACAGAGCTGGGCTGTGAGGTGAGGGCCGGGGGGCGCTGTACAAGCAAATGGGGAGACAGCGGGGGTGCCTGTCCAGGGGATTTAGGAAGTTATCTAAGTGTTTTCTTTCTCCCATAGTAACAGTGGAGGGTTGGGTTGCTCTGGCAATGTTCTTGAGGACATCCCACCGACCTCTTCTGTAACACCTGGTACCTGCTTGTCAGATGTCAGGGGCAGGTGCAGGAGGCTGTGGGGTTTGTGCTGGGATCCTCGGCATTCAGACCTCTGCTGATCGCCTCAGTGCTCCTGGGCTGATATCCTGGCTTAATCTTTGTTCCCTTTTTTCCCACACCAAGCATGCCCTGAACCCACTGCTTCTCTAACACAGATGTGCCTTATCAGTCACCTGGAGGTCCTATAAAACCAAAGATTCTGGTTCAAGTGGTCTGGGCCAGCTCTGGAGTCAGCTGACTATCCAGCTCCCTGTGATGCTGCCCCCAATCCAGGGACCATACTTTGAGTAGCCAGGCCCTGAGCCTCCTTTGACTCTGGGAGACTCCTAGACCTGGCTCCTGATACTGTTTCCTCGGCAGATGGAGCGTCATTCCCATCAGGTGCTGGGAGAGCCTGTGCACATCATGATAGGTCTGCATGCAGACGTAGCCACCCTGACCTGATTGGCCCAGATGTGGAGGGATGGTGATACCTGTTTGCAAGAAGCAAAAGGCTGAGTAGCCCAGCAGCTGGGAATATGTGGGTAGGAGACTGTGAGACCCAGGAGCAGAGAAAGCCCCTGAGGGAACGCAGAGCTCTGCGCACTGAGGGTGGAGGACAGCAGGCGCTTCCTGCACAGGAAGAGTGAGGGATGACTCGGGGAGCTGAGTGGGGTGTGGATGGACTCAAGGCTGAGCCCGGGAGAAGCGGGCAGATGCTCCTGTTCCTCAGAGAGCCAAGGAATCCTAGCTTGAACTGTCACCACTGTACTGCAGGGTCTACGACGTGGTTGGTGGTCCAGGGAAGCCTCTCAGTCACCACGTCTGGAATGAACGGAGTGGAAATAGGGCAGTGTTCTGGAATGAGCAGGCCTGAGCAGGGCATGAAGTGGGGTCAGGCCAGCTGGGAGGTGAGCGGGTGCTTGGGTTTAGAAGTGGGCTTCCTGACTGGTTTTCCTCTAGCTGGAGTTCTCCCAAGCAGGGGACTTGTAGGATGCCTGGTGGGGAGAAGGATCATGACGTTGGGGCTCAAGGTCTGGATCTCAGGGGGAAAGATTGTGGGGCCTTGCAGCAGGCCCTGGCAGTCCCCAGCTAGGGAATCCGGGAACCTCCCGTGGCTTTGCGGGTTGAACTGTGCTAGGCTCCCAACCAGGCAGCTGGCCTGGCTGGGGTTTTCTGCTCCAGATCCTTTGGGCTGAGCTGCTGCTTGCTTGGCCCAGGGCACTGTCTCCAGGAGCATTTTGCTGACTTGCAGACAGGGTGTGCCCATCACAGAGGGTGCCTGCTCAGGTAGAGGGGTGCACTGGGAGCAAGGCCAGGCCTGAGAGCTCAAGGGGGTCCCCAGGTCTGTGGCCCTCATGGTCCCTGCCCATCATGTTGTCCCTGAGGTCTCCAAGGAAGGGACTGTTTTCTATGGAGCACAGGGAGGAGCAGCCCCTGAAGCCTTGGTTCTGGCTGTGGCCCTGTAGTTGCCCGTTTAGGGTGACATTCCTGCAGAACTGTGGGCAGCTGCCTTGGCTTTGAGGCGTCTCCCGGGCGACCACATGGACAGGATCACCTTTCTGCTTTCCCGGGTCAGCTGTAAGGGGATTAAGGCAGTGCATCACCGTCATCATCATTTATGCATTTTTTATTCTGATACATAATTTCAGCTTTAGAAAAAGTTGCAATAATAGTACAAAGAAATTCCTATACCTTTCGACTGATTCACCAATTGTTAGCATTTTGCCCCATTTGCTTAACATTGTTCCTCTCTGGTGTGCTCCCTATAGGAATATCTTTTCATGCATATGTATCATAATATCTATCTCTGTATTTATCTTACATGTGGAATAATCTTTTTCTGTCTTTTCATAGATATATAGTAAAATCTCCACTTATGATTACATGTCTTTCCTTATACATATGTACTATAATCTATGTATTTTCTTTTATGTATAATGTCTACCTACATACCATTTCATACGTATACATAATATATATAGTATAATCTGTCTATATATCTTCTCATATATATAACCTCTGTGGTTGGGTAGTTTGTGTCCTCTCAAAATTCATATGTTGAAACCTAACTCCTGTGTGAGGGCTTTTGGAAGTGTGGCCTTGGGAGGTGATGAGGTCATGAGGAGGAGTGTCATGAATGGAGTTAGTGCCCTACATCTATCATAAAGGATCTCACAGAGCTGCCTCGGGCCGTGAGGACATGGTAAGAAGACAGCTGTCTGTGAAGCAGAAACAGGGCGCACACTGGATGCTGGACCTTCCCAGCCTTCAGAACTGTGAGAAATAAATTTCTATTATTTATAAGCCAGTCTATAATGTTCTGTTACAGCAGCCTGAATGGACTAAGACACACTCTCTCTCTATATGTCTGTATATATGTACAAGAATCTGTGTATTCATATTTTCACATAAATACATATATCTGCCAATGTATTATGTTATATATATATATATATACATATATATATATATATATATAAGACATTCTCTTACATCACTGTAATACAGGTATCAAGATCAGGAGACTTAACATTACTACATCCTCGTCCGTAAGCCACCATCCACAGTCAAATATAATGCCCCCTTTTTAAAGTTAAAAGCATGTAGATCTGGTTAATAGTTAGCATGAATATCTGACACTGTTCAGGTACTACTCTTACCATCTATATATCTGAGCAAATAAAAATGATGGGAGACAGTTCCATGGAATGAAATGGCACGGAAATGAAGTCAGTTTGTGGGTCATAATGATGCAGGGGGAAAGTATTATTTGCACTTCCTTTAACAATGTATAAATAGAGTGAATGGCACAAATGTAGCTTTCATTTAGACTTGGAACTCACCAATCCTTTCCATCAGTCAGCAAACAAAATCCCAAAGCAAGCGCCCGGTCAGCCTTAGGCGGCTGACGTCAGGGAGCCAGGGGCACAGGACCAGTTTCAGGTTTGATGTTCACGAAGCACCATTGTCCTGCCCCCGACCCTTCCAGATCTGCTGTATAGATGGTAGTGCCTAACTCTCATTCTTGAATCTGGTTTTAAAAGGCAGATTTCTGGCCATACTCTCTGGCCGTCAATCTAGGTGCTACGGAGGAATGCAGACATCCCATTCGAGGCCCTTGCTGCCAGGTCTCCACTGGATTTGCCTCTTTCCATAGTTGAATCCTAGTTCCCTGTCCAGGGTGATGTTGGTCACTCCGGAGCCCTCCTGTGGGTGGCCTGCCTCCGGGGCCAGGAGGTGCATGTGAGGCGAGGCAAGGCCGGGCAGGATTCAGCCCAGAGCACATGAGTCTAGGCCGAGGCCTCCATGGGGGAGGTTGCTAAGGACCATGGGCAAAATGGAGACCTGTTTTTAGTCTGCCTTTTAGCCCCCAAAACCTTTTTAATGCTCTTTACACTTTGTACCTAACAGCCAGATGTCCAGAGGCTTCATAGTGACTAGGCCACACCCACAGGTACCTGAGCCTGGCTTGTGCCGCTTGTTAGATTTCTGGGTGTTGGAGGTAGTCTCGCCCTAGACCTGTGCTTTATGAGGAATGACAAAGGGGACTTTCCAGGATACCCATCCTCATTTGCAGGAGAGGAAGGTGAAGTGCAGTGTGTGGGAAGGTTGTCTAAGGTGACCCAGCTGGTGATGGCCAGGCCAGGCTGTTTTGGAGCCACCCCAGAGGTCATCACCTCAGAGGACATCACCTCAGGGGTCACCATCTCAGAGGACATCACCTCAGAGGTCACCACCTCAGAAGACATCGCTGAAGAGGCCATCACCTCAAGGGTCATTACCTTAGAGATCACCACCTTAGAGGACATCACTGCAGAGGCCATCACCTCAGAGGTCATCATCTCAGATGTCATCACCTCAGGGGTCACCATCTCAGAGGTCATCACTGCAGAGGTTACCACAGAAATTACCACTCAAAGAACATCACCTCAGAGGACATCATTTCAGAGGACATCACACCAGGGGTCACCACCTCAGAGGTTATCATCCCTGAGGTCACAGGCTCAGAGGTCAGTGCAGCGCACCTGGTTCAGAGGGCTTTGGTGCTCTGTGAACAGGCATCTGTTACCCCGCGGGTGACTCGGACAAGGTGCTGAGTGGCGTCCAGCGTGTGCAGGTGGCATCACCTCATCAGCCCTGGTCTTCCAGGCGCTATCCTGCTCTGAACCTCTTGTCAGCTAACACTGGCAGGCTCCAGAGCGACACTGCCTTGGGTCTATTTTTCTGTAAAAAGCACCTGATTCCCGTCAGGATGCAGTTGGAATCAGATGATCTGAGTTGGGAGCCTCGTTTTCATCAGGAAACAACTACATGAACACCTGCTCCTCTCAGCTCGCGCAGCCGCTTTAGGAACTGCATGGAGCCAGGACGCCCAAGCCATGGTGGTGGCCCTGGATATCCGTGGGTGCCCCACGGGCTCGGTGAGTCACACAGAGGGGTGGTAGCCTTTGTAAGCTGCTGTCTGTGCCAGGGCTCCTTGCTGCTGACCCTGAGAGCGAGGGCTTCCAGGAGCCAACACATTATCCTGAGCATTTTACATGAAAAGTTTCAAACATACGAAAAGTTGAAGACTGTGATGGGGAACACCCCAGTTCCACAGTTAACACTTACTATGGGAGCTTCCTCACATATCTACCATCATTCACCCTCCTTTAACCCCTGCGGTCCTGTTTTGATGCATTTCGAAGGGACCTGCCGATGTGCACGTCTCACCACAGATACTTCACCATAACATGGCTCAAGTTCCACATCTGTTCGCAGTTCTTTTGTTTTTGAGATAAAATTAAAACACGTGGAAATGCATAAACTTCAAGTGTATATTCATTCAGCTTTGACGCATGTAAAAACCTCCCTCAAGGCACAGGACACCACCAGAGCTCCAGAATGTTCTGTAATGCTCTTCCCATACTCACTGTGGGTCTGTTTAGCCATTCTACAATGTCCTAGAGCTCACTGGGCACTCGGGTGTGTCTGGCTTCTACTCTGCGGAATGTTTGTGGGATGCATCCATTGTCTATGATTCATCAGTGGCTCAGTTTCCTCATTACTGAGTAGTGTCCCATTGTAAGAATAATCTGCGGGTTGTTGGCTATTTTGGCTATTAGGAACCTAGCTCTATGCACACTCAAGGGCACATCTCTTTGTGGGCATGTTTTCATTCATCCTGGGGAAATGTCTAGGATTGGAATTGCTGGGTCTAGGGCAGGTGCTTGTTCAGTTTTATAAGAATCTTCCAGATCCTTTCCTAAGTGGCTGTACCATTTCACACTTTTACCAACATTATTTGTGAGCTTCGATCCTTGTCAGCATTTGGGTTGTCTTTTTAAAGGTTAGCTACTCTGGAGGGCAACCTCAATAACCTTTCAAAAAAAACATCTTTGAAGACCTGTTAACATTTATCCAAATCAATGGACAAGGAGCCAGTTCACCAGAATGTGTGCAGGATCAAAAATTTTTCTTTACTGCTGCCATGATCAGCCCTTCTCTGCTCAGCCATGGGCTTGGGCTTGTCACCACTCCCAGTGTTTCCAGGAAAGAATCTGGGACCAGTTCACATCTCCGTGTGACTGTCTGACTTTTCCCAGGAGAGCTGCAGTGCTTCAGGCAGAAGTCTGCTATTTCTCCATTTGACATAAGGGGAAATTAAGGCACAGGTTGCAGAGCTGCTAAGCAGCTAAGCCAAGGCTTGAGCCCTAGCTGACTGCAGAGCCAGGTGGCCTCTACTGGTTCTTCTGAAAATTATTTTGACATGATTTCAGACTTAGAGAAGTTACAAAAATAGTACAAGTAATTCACATTTACTACATTTGCTTTATCATTCCCCTCTCACTCCCCCACATGCACACGCATGCACTCACGTGTACACATACACACACATACATGCAGACTTAGGAATATACATGTGCATACTTTTTCCCAAATCACTTAAAAGTAAATTGGGACATGCTGCCCTTCTACCGATAACTCTGAATTCAGTATGTGTTCCCTAAACACAAGGAATTCCCTGATGTCACCACAGCACAATTATCAGAATCAGGAAATAAACATTGACACAGTTTCGTGTTTCACCAAGCCTTATTCTTGTTTCACCAAATGATATTCTTATAACATAAGAGTATCTAAGATTGTGTATTAGATTGATTTCTTAATAAATTTTTAAATAGGATTATTGGATCAAAAGAACGAACATTTTGATGTCAATGCATGTTTTTTTATTTGCTTCCATAAAAAGGTGCCACTCACACCCCCGCCATGCTGAGTAATACAAATCCTCTCGCCCCTTATCACTCTGATGGGTGAGAATGAGGTTTTACTGTCTTAATGTGGCCTCTTTAATCATGAGTGAGGTGTTGAGTGGTGTTCTGTGTATTTATCGGGCTTGGGTATTTTAGACAGTCACATGCCAGAGCCGTCCTCACACAGCACCATGCGTGTCCCCTGCTTCATTTCAGGAGCAGCCCTGGGCCCTTTGCTGGCTGGGCTCATCTCCCCATCTGGATGGAACAATGTGTTCTACATGTTGATGTTCGCAGATGCCTGTGCCTTATTGGTAAGTCCTCCTATTGGTCCATCTCTGTGGCTGTTGACCAAACACTGCGCCCTCCAGCCCTCCTCTGCTCGCTTCTGTGGGCTCCTGCAGTTCTCAGGGAGGTTGGACCTGTAATGTGCCAGCTTCCCCAAGTGATCGTGGCCCAAGGCCCTTTCTCTTTCTGGTTTAAACAAACGTCAGAAGCAGAAGCAGGCCCAGAGTCTGGTGCCCTGCAGTTTCAGGCAGGTTGGCAGAGAGGCAGGGAGCAGGGCTCCCAGCTTTGGGTCCTAGCCCTGTGAACTGTCAGGTGTGCATGCACCAGAGCAGTTCCTGAGCCTCTGTCCTGCAGCTTCCGTATTTTTAAGTGGCCATAATAATGGCACCCAACAAAGGATTGTGGTGGAAATTGGGAAGTGTTGCAACAAGACTGTGGCCCTCATTGGCCTGGAACCCCTCCTGCTTCCAACAGTCACCTGGGAGGCACCTGACACCCTGTGCCCAAAGGGATAGAAGGGAGAAGGGAGGCAGTGGCTGCCCGTACAGGAGCTCAGCAGTGGAGGGGACAGAGGGCAGCCTGCACAGGAGGGGATGGAGGGCAGCTGGCACAGCGCTGGGCAGTGGAGGGGGTGGAGGAGGGAGCTCTGAGCATTCTGCTTTCTGCCCCTGTTCTCTGGCTCGGCTCCCTATCCCTCTTGCACTGAGAGTTGAGGTCTTCAGGCTGGAGAAGACAGGCCACAGTCAGGGCCGTACGGCAGACACCTGCGCACGCGGCCTCCATGCAGCCACCCTCACTGCCTCTGAGCACGGCACACCCATACCTGAAGCCCCAAGGCTCCTCTCATTTCCCCTCAAAAAACCTGAAGTTGTTCTTAAGACATGAGTTAAAGAATCTGGAAATATTAACTCCATCAATTAAGTGGAAGTTATATTTAATTCCAGAGAGCCCTAAGCACAGCTGCACCACATTTCGTACAGGATCAAATACCTACCCTCAACCCGTGAGCCTGTTAGGTTTTAAAAGGCTATTCCTGAGATGCTTTGGTTTTTTAAGTGCCTGAGGGTTTTAGTTAAATATCAGATCATTTCCACTCGGTAGCAGTGAAACTTCCCTCACTGTGGCTTCTTAAGTTCTGAAACTCTTCTACTTCAGAAATGCCGGGAAATATACATTGAACTTCCTTTCCAACGCACAGCTAAGCCCCTAAGGCAGGCCGGGCATCCCCCGGCCCCCGAGACATAGAACCAACATGAGTACGTCCTCAAGCTGACACTGCAGCGGCCAGTTGTCCGTCTCGGGAACCGAGGGGCTGGGTGGTTATGCCCAATCAGAAAGGGGGGCCACAGTGGATGGCCCCCACAAGATGGGGAGCTGGAAGTGGAGCTCCATTAGGCTGGGACCCGCAGAGGCTGTACTTGCACAAAAGGGCTGCCACGAAATACACTACATGGCATTTGCCCAAGAAGGCAGGGCCTCCAGGTCCACTTCACCAGCTGACTGATGGGCAGGGGGGAATCCACCCTGGGAATTCTGAGCCCTGGACGTGCCTGCAATAAGCTTAAATTTAACTTATATTATTTAAGTATACATAATATGTTTTTAAAAACTGGGTAAATGTGGTCCTGGAATGGTGATATGCCTGGTCTTAGGCAGAAGCAAATCTAAACCATTTGCAAGGGACAGACCTACACGGGCTTTGCACAGCTGACACCTACTTCAGGTGAGCCCACCACCCAGACTCGAAGAACAGTGCCCTGCGGTGGAGGGACAGGTGTGGCAGGAGTGCGCCCGCACAGCTACGGCTGAAAGGATCACCAGATACCGCAAACACAAACATAACTTACATCAGCAGCCATGTCAGAGAGGGGGCTGAAATTGTGAGAAAGGAGCAGGACAGGGCTGGGGGTTGCAAACGTAAGGAACCACCAAGGTGCAGCACAGAAAGATGGCTGCTAGGGAAGAGAGGTTAAACACAGAAGGAGGGCCAAAAGGGGTGGTCCGGCGTCCACGAGGAACTCCGGACGGGGCTGCGGGGACAGGCACAGGAGCAGTGGATGGAGAGAAAACAGCTGCGGACTTATGGAGACAACGAGTGGTGGCTGCAGCCTGGGGGGGAAACTGCAACATGGTCTGAACAATTGTAAATGGACTAAACTCACCAGTTAACAGCAGACTGTAGGCTGGCCTTAAAAATCCAGACTGTTATTTACAGAAAACACACCTGATATGTAGAATTCAGGACCAAAATCAAAGGAAGTAAAAATATCTAATAGGCAAATAATACCCAAAAGAAAGCTGGGCTGGCTGGGTCAGAAGAGGGACACCAAGAGCCAAAGGCATCGGCGGGCAGAGTGGACAGCCAGCAGCAGAGCAGCCCCGCCAGCAGGGGCCTAAGCGCCCAGCAGACACGCCTCCAGGCGGCCGGACCCGCAGACCCAGGGTGCTCACGGGGCTGGCTGCGGTGCGTGACCCCAGCAGGGTGGCCCGCTGTCATGCGGCTCTCCATGCGGGGAGGCCTCCGCACTCACCCGGGCACCCAGCACTGCGGTCGCGCCAGAGCGTGCCCTTTGTCCTTCAGAACTGTTGCCACTAGTGACAGTTTATTCCGTGCCTGCATGTGACACTTGTTCGTTTCTTCCTCGTTTCCATTCTCTTAATGACCCGCCTGTTGCAATCATAGGCTCTTCTTATTAACACTCTGCACGCACTGGGCATGGTGGACCTTGTGGATAAGCTCCCAGCCCAAAGCTGGTGGGGCCAATGCTGGTTATTGGGGGTACAGGTTCAAATTCCCGGTGATCCGCTCGCCCAGCAAACATTACTATTGCCGCCAGTGCGGTGTTTGGCACCCAACAGGTTCCCACCTAGGCTTCACCACCACAACTGTGTAAACTCTCAGGGGGCCAAGCCATGCAGCTGGGTCACACTTTCTCTGTAGGAGGACTTGCCCCAGGACCCTGCTTCACTGCACACTGTTCAGGGGTGGGGGGATCCTCTGTGGGGCTGCTGTCACGTTGGCGGAAAGACCAGGGTCACAGCCACATACAGAGCCAGCAGCCTGGCCTGCGCTAGGTCACCAGTGTGGGTGGTCAACTGGCTCAGCCCTGAGGGCAGTAGAGGGATGGGGAGGGAAGGAGATGGGGACCCCGGGCATGGAGCAGGAATGGCCGTGGGTCACTGACGGCAGCTGTGGAGGCAGCGGGGGCAGGGGGTGGGCAGGAATCGCTGGGTCCTGGGGTGAGGCTCTCGGAGAAGCCTCCTGATAAAGCATAGCTCTTCCCGCCTGCCTAAGGCCCGAGGATACTCCCCTGGCTGTTAGAGCCCCTCCCTAGTGTCACCGGGATTGTAGGCCACCTGGTCTCTTGTGTCTCTCTATCCAATGTGGACATTTTTATGATTGGAGTCACTTTATTTTAGACTCCCTTTAATCCAGAAGTCACTCAGGCAGAACTCTGTCCAGCAACCTTTTTTCTAGGAGCGGGTGCCCAGAGGTGGCTTGTTGGACTAGGTAAGCGCTGACCGGCCCTGGGACCAGGCCGCAGGCCCCTGCTGTGCAGCTTCAGGCCCCTAAGCCTTTTTGTCCTGATGAGAAAGTCTTTCCACTCCGACGCCCTAGTGTGGGGTTTGCTGAGCCACAGGCACAGATGAGCCCAGCGCCAACCAGGGTGAGCAGCCGCACATGTGTGGGGCTGCGGCCCACGGGGAGGCCCAGTCTGCTCAGCCTCTGCCGGCAGTTAAAGGTGGTCTCAACTTTGTTTTGGGTGCAGTTCCTGATCCGCCTCATACACAGGGAGCTGAGCTGCCCGGGGTCAGCGACGGGGGACCAAATGCCGTAAGTGCCCCCACAGTCTGAGCGCAGCTGCAGACCGTTCTGGCTTATCTGCCTCCCGCACCTGGTGCTTCCTAAAAGAAAGCAAGTTCACCAGCTGTCCCTTTCATTGCACGTCTCGTTCAGCCTCATTTTTCCTTTCCTAATAAACACCTTGGTGTGAATGTGATCCTGGAAATCTCTCCTCAGAATCTGAGTGAGGAGATGTGAGGGGAAATTGCCGGCTTTGTTCCCTCTGAGCGGCAGCTTTCTGACACAGAGAGCAGCTGCAGGAGCTCAGCCTGGGCCTCTGCTCCCCCTCCTGTCTTCCTCTTCGCTCCCCTGCATCCCCAGAAGGCTGTGGGGTGGGGTGGGACTGCCCACCTCCCAGTGGGCCTCTGGAACACCCCAGCAGAGGTGGTGAGAAGCTGGCTGCTGTGGGGCTTATGCACGGGGCATGAACCCGGCATCTGTCCTTGGCCATCGCCAGCTATGTAACAGCTGCTCTTTTATCCTCTTCCAGGTTTAAGGAACACTGACCCCTCAAGTCCCATGGAGGGAGGCTGGGCCTGTCCTTCACAAACTGTCTTTCAAGGAAAAATTCAAGTAAAGGATCCTGTGTTGAAAAGAATAATTTACCCTTGCCTTTTGCACACACACCTGGAAAAGACACAAAGCCACCTCCAGAATTCTGGTACGATTTTAGACGAGCCATGGAGCTTGGGATACAGTGAGAAAGTTGGCGAGACGCACTGTCTGCTGCTGCTGCTGCTGAGCCCAGACGAGACGGCCCTGGCAGTCAGGAGCCTGGCAGACCCCCCGGCAGCTGCTCTGGGGGCCATGCATGGTGCTCGGAGGAGCCTCGGTCTCCCTCAGGAATTTCAGCAGAGAATGTTCTAGCAGGCTGAGCTCGCCAGCAAGACTCCTGGGGACACCTGGGTGTGCTGCATGGAAGACAGGATGCCACAGCCTCTGAAAGGGCAGAAGAAACCAGACAAGCAGATCAGGACCAAGAAAAGTCCTAGAGCCGCCACCTCACCCAAGGACGCTGCCAGCTCCTCCTCCCTCTGAACGGACCTAGAAGCTGATTGTCAGGAAGTGACCAGCCGTGACGCCGCCTAGACCTGCTTGGGTCAGAGGCCCTGAGCGCCAGCCCCACAGCGGCCTGGAGGGGGCTGCCATCCCAGCCCCCGCAGGCCGCTGTGGGGCCCAGGAAGTGGGGCTGGGAGTGAACTGGCCTCCAGTCAAGTGGTCTCCTTCTCTCCATGACACGCCAGATGCCTAGAACTGTCTTCAGCTACAGAGTGGACTTATTTATTTAAAATGTGTACTGTTACAGAAGTTTAAGAAACAAACGGCATTTTGTTATTTATTAAGACAAATTCCAATGGTTCTCTGGCCACTTGTTTTCTGGGTGTTGCCTAGCAAAGTACATATCCACCCTTTGAAATAAAATGTTTTTTTAAAAAACTCAAGCAGAATGTTGATTATTTCTGCTCACCTTTCTGTTATGTTAAAAAAGAGAAAACTTCCAAATAGAGCTGCGTGTTCTTGGTGTCCTCAGGGCTGGACGTGAGGTGAGGGTGGTGGGCAGGGAAGGGGGGTTGCAGCTGGAAGCTGAGACCATTGCCAACAGAGAAGGGGCCACCCTGCTCAGGGGCAATCCCTGGTTAGCACAGAAGCCGGCCCAGCAAACACAGTATCTGGATATTTTCTAAACTCAGTGCAGAGGGCAGCTGGCATGCAAGGTCAGGAGGACACCAAGCAACTTCCTTCCCATGGGGCCCCTGCACCACGCTTGCCAGAGGCGGCCAGACCGGGGGCTTTAGAATGGCAACTGTCCTCACAAGACAGGCCTGCTTGTTTTCACAACCAGAGTTACACTTGTCTCGCCCGCGTGTCTCCTGGGTTCCTTTCCCCTGTGCTTCCTCCTGCCCCTGAGCCTGCTCACCCAGGCCGCTCCTTATTCTCCCCTCCTGCCCTCAGCTGTGAGTGCCCCTCCCTGCCCAGCCCCCATTGTTCTGCCTGGGCCTGAATGATGTAAATGTGGGGTGAGCTCCGATGTAGACCCACTTTGTTTTTGCCCTGCCCTGGAGGATAGCTGCTGACTGTTGGGGGTTCAACAACAGGAAGCGTTTAGGGGGTGATTACTGTTTGCCCCCAACTTGGGACTAAAGCATTGAAGGTGGTTTCCACACCCCATGGAGGAAGCTCTCTCACTGAGCCCTACGGTGCCTCCCAAGATGGAGAGTCAGGCCTTTTTGAAAATGAGTTCACATGGCTATTTTTTAAAGCAGTTTAGCTGTAACACACTCTTGACCCGTGAATGGAAGATTTTATCATGATCTTTTAAAGAGAAAAGTGTGTGATTTCAAAATAAATATACATCTTCATTTCATCCTGAGCAATAGCGGAGATGATCTCCTCTGCAAAGGGCCAGTTATGGGGCGGGCATGCATTCATATGGAAATGTGACTGCCTTCCATGAATTTATATGTCGCTGAGGCTTCCCCATTCAGATCCCCACAAAGTACCCAGGGTGACTGACATGCAAGCTCGGTGATGGTGGTGATGCTGAGACAGAGGACTCGGCCTCCAATCCTGAAGGAAAGAAAAGCCTCCTGGAAGCTCCACGTCAAAACCCAGAACTCCCCTCCAGTCACGCGCCGATGAAGTCCAATAAAAAGAAATTGCTAGAAAAAGTGAAGTGGTAAAACAAGTCCTAATTTTTTACTGTTAGATTCAAAAGACATAAAATGCTGCTGAGCTGCTATGGAAGTCTGTAAATGCCTACTCTAGCCTCAGCATATCTTGCAGTGAGCAGTAGCAGCTCAGAGACTGGCAGCCACCCCGTGCCGCCCTGAGGAGGAGGGAGAGAGGGCACGGAGGTGCTGCAGGGCCACGTAGTGGGACAGCAGTGAAGGGGGCCGGGGTGCTGCAGGGCCATCGGTATGCAGGGGCCGCTGTGACCTGTTCATGCCACATGTCCCATGGAGTGTCCCCAAGGAGCCATGCCAGCCTGCCTGCCAGGGCACCCCTGGGTCTGCCCACCTCAGGCATGCAAACAGGTCTCCTGTAGTGGCCCAGCCATACGCTCTGCTTCTCCAATTCCGGCCCCTGGTTCAAAAAGCAGGGGAGAGGTGCTGTTCAGGGTACTGAAATGCAAAGCATTTTCCTTCTTTCTGTTGCAGGAGGCTGGACAGCAGGGAGCCAAAGCTTCAGTCCCCTGTACCTGCTCTTCCATCCCGCCTCCTTCACTGACAAACCACGAGTGAAGAAAGAGCATCCCCCAGAATTTCAACATGGCAACTGCAGCGCATTTAGCCCACAGCACAGGGGCCTTGAGCACAAGCTGCTGCGTGACTGCCACAGCCAGTGCCCCTGAGGCTGGCCCTGCTGACACAGGAAAACAATGCTCCGCCCAGGCGGATGGAGTCTGGTCCTCACCCTGTCTTTGACGTGGGGCCAGAGTGGAAACGGGAGCAGGTCCACATGGCCTCCCTTCCCCTGGGGGTGCCCTCCATGTAATGAGCCACTTCAGGTTCCCTGGGGGCCCTGCGCCCATGTGCTCCAGAAGCCCCTGCCCCTGAAAGAACGTGTGCATCTGTATCTCACCCTGTAGCGCCTCCCCCAGGCTGCGCGGCCACGCCTCCTGACCCAGCTGGCCAATGCCTGTGGGTTAGCCTTGCACCAGCCAGCTTGGTGTCACTGTCACCTGGAGGCTCATCCTTTCTGACATGCTTCAGAGAAAGTCAGGGTTAAGGGCTGCTGGGCCTGTGCCCATCCCCGGGCCTGTCCCTAGCCACTGCAGAGGGATGCTGACTGACACGGGACCTGATGCTGCATCCTTACAAAGCAGAGGCTCTGAGCACGGCAGAGACCTTCAGCGGGAAGCGCCGTCCGGACTGGGAGCCAGACCCTGTCAATCTCCGCAGAAACAAAGGAGCACCCATGACAGACATGCAGCCCGACTGTGAACCTGGTGGGTCACTGAACCACCCAACCCCATGACAGGTCAAGGGTGTTGCCTTTGAAAGTCACTGCAAGCCAACTGGCAGTGACCAGCACTGGATGGAGAGCCCTTTCCAGCTGAGCCGATGGCAGGTGAGATGCCAGGGCAGCAGGGGCCTCCTCCAGTGCTGAGAAGTGAGCAGAGAGCGGGCAGGCAAGGGGCACGGTGGTCCCATGGATGGGGCTGTGCTGGCTGGCGGCCCTGCTCTGCTGCAGAAATTCCAGGTGGGGACAAGAATTTCCTGATCTTGGAATGGGCCCCAGCGTCCTCCAGGACACACGTTCAAGTGGCCACGCCATAGCCTAGGTGAGGGACTGCAAGGGCTGGGAGGTTGGCCAGGACAGACTGGCACCTGGACGTCATGACCATCTGGGCTCCTAGAGAAAACTGACGGGATTGCAAAGTTTCTGTCACCTGCTTCCTTACTGTGGGCACCCAAGGCAACCCTGCCCCGTCTCATGTTCTACTGGGAGGCCTGAATCAAATATCCTGTTATCTGTTGGAATTTGGACTCAACCTGCTTCTAGAAGGCTTATGGGGGAAGATGTGCACTGAGTAGGGGTGCAGAGAAATCGAAGGTCCAGGGCCTTCGGGTGTGGTGCACATGCCCCAAAGTGTCCTCAAGCCCATCCAAAGGACCTGAGGTCCCGGAGGCTGTGCAGCCACTCCTGCGCCCAAAAGCCTTATTTGGATTTTTTTAAACTGAGGTGAAATTCACACGACACACCCTGGCCATTTCACAGCGTGCACGTTGCTGGCATTGGTGCTGTAGGGGCCAAGTGTAGGCCACCCCAGGATGGGCCGTTGTGACATGCAGTTCACTGGGCTGAAGACATCCTGGCCCCAAAGGCTCAGGAAGACACTTGGCCCACCTGCCCCTCACACACCTGCACAGAAAGTTTATTTGACAAGACAGTACCTAGACGGGAGTGCAGGTGACCTCATGGTGGAGATGCACTTAAGGGTTCAGGGTTTGGGGTTTAAAGGGCCTCTTGGAAGGGGTTGACATGAGGCATGATGTATACAAGTGGTTAATAATTCCTTTGAAGTTTTGTCATAAGAACAGAGTTAATTAGGTGACTGTGTTGATCTGGATCTCAGCATTCTTTATCCACAGAGGTTCATTTATACTTGGGAGGTCTGTCTCCTGTCCTGGTTACAAAGTTACTAACCGATTAAGGAGCTGGAAGAAGGGGGCGAACAGCATAAAGTTTAAGTTAAGCCATAAGCTGAGCCTTTTTCACCAGGCTAAGAAGATTTTACAATGGCCTGAGCCTTGTCCCATTTCCCTGCTCTCTCAGCAAGAGCCAGGGGTTGGGAGCTGGCTACTGAGCAGAAGGCAGCTCAGTCTTGCCAAGCTAATGTGAGTCTGGGTGCTGAGACCCTCTCTGTGCCAGGCAGAGCATCCAGCAGGTCCACTCGGTTCACCAGCCAGCCTCTGAGGACTCAGAGCTGGGAAGGTGGTTTCCAATCCATGGACGGGTCTTGCCCATCCCATGCCTCCCAGGCAGCAACAGAGACAGCAAACCCAGGCTGAGCTCAGCGCCCTGACCAATGTCAGGGCAATAACACGCGGCAAGGAGGGAAAATGCCCAGAGCAACCTGTAAATACCCACAGGGGGCCTCTCCACTTGCTCCTGTTCACATGTTCATTTTCCCCTTCCCTTCCCAACCCACAGGCCTCAATAGATTTGTCCTAACATCTTTCCTCACCTTTCCTCTCCTCTTCCTGCTGGATTTGGTTTCTCGGGGGTTTCCTGATAGCACCAAATGGCTCGTTATGGCTGGGACACATCCTACGTGGATCCTACATGCAGGGACCCACCAGATTTAAACTAGACCAATTGGACTAATGTTTTACTTCTCTTGGGTCAAAGTAAGACTATGGCCTAAAACACGCAGCTAATTCTGACCAAAAGATGTCCTTCCACTCCAGGTACACATGACTAAGGTCCGTGCATTGCTTATGCCCACCCCAGGAAGCCTGGGGCTATGGTGGGGACAGGAGGGGCAGGTGCCAGCTTGAAAGGGGAACACTCGTGTTTATACCACGACACGGCTGCCCCCAAAAGACTGAGGTGCCCCTGCACCTCCAGTGGCTCTGCCTTTGTGCCCCCAGCCCCCACACCCCCCAGCCACCCTGCCCTTGTACCCCCAGCCCCTGTACCCCCAGCCACCCTGCCCTTG